TAAACTATTTCATGTGTTTTGCCCCATTTTTTAAATACGGTAAGCCTTCTTCTTCTTCCCCAGGTCTTGATGGAAGGAAAAGTTGTGTCTGGATGGTGTCAAAATATCGGAAAATGGGGAAAATGGGGGAAATGGAGAGAAGAGATTGGGGAAATGGATAGTATTCATCGGAGAAGATCACATGAAAGAAATGAAAAGAGAAAAGGGGGGAAAGAGCTGCCAATAGAATTCAAGGCACATCAGATCATTCTTTCTGATAAGTCGGATTCGATTTGTTTCATGTTTAGATGCTATTTTTAGATTTTAGACTGTGAAAGGGTTATGATGTACTTTACAGTTACAGAGTTACTTTACAGAGTAGCCTTTGTTCCTGTACTGTGTCTGCTGTCAGCTACCGTAATCCCTTGAATCAATCAGCTCCCGTAGCCACTTGCGACTGTAATCCTCGATTACTGTAATCCTACCTGACTACAGTAATCCTACTTGACTACAGTAATCCTACTTGACTACAGTAGTCCTGCCTGGCTACAGTAATCCCAAGTATCGTCTGCAGAGATTCTCTGAACACTTTACCATTAGCAACCCAGCAATCGACCTTCAACCGACCACTTAACCCAGCCAGCCACTGAAGCCAGATCCGGCTCCTGATCTGAACTTAAACTGTCTCCACAGTTTGTCAGAAGTCTCCACAGAACTCTCCACAATCCTTGATAGTATAAGTGTCTCGTTGTCACCCACCCACCCCTTCCACAGCGCTATCTTTCCCTTCAATCTCTCACAAATCATCGATAGCTTCCCCCCATCTTTTCTCCTTTTCAAATCTCATGATTAGATCCATTTCACGAAAAAATGAATCACCAATTGGTAATCTCTTCAACCACGACAACAATTTTGAAGTGATGACAGAAAAATGATGTTCGGGGAACTTTTATGGATCAACAGTTTCTCTTACTGTTTCTTCTCTTTCTTCTCTTACTCTATTCTTCTCTTTCTTCTCTTTCTCTACTTCCTGCAATAGTTCTTGGCTGAATCAATCAGGAAACAAGTTGCAGAAAGTCCAGAATAGCAGGTGATAGGTTACGGCCTTTGAGCTGTGTACTTTGTGCTCAAACATGGGAATGCACCCTTTCTAGCGCACTAAACACATCCACAGTGTGCTTTCCTGGCGTGATTCTTGTAGAACTCACAAGTTTAAGAAGCGCATTCTTTCTAGCACACTAAAGCCATGATGTTCTTGAGAGTGAAGTTTTGTGTGTTTCCATTTCTGAGGACAAAGCCCATCTAAAGTCTTATTGAATACAAACTCTCAGAACTACTGTACTCCATTTTCCAAAAATCTTCTTTTATCATATCATTTTTATTTCTTTTCTAATGAAATATCCAATCGATTGCTTGTTTGCTGAATGAAGATTTTCCACAGTTTTCAAAACCAATCAATCGACATAAATCTCTCAAATTGCAAACATTTTCCTAAATATTATCACTTTCTGTTCATCCATACACTTTGTGGCATTGATTTCATTCAAATCTTTCTTCAATATTATCATTTTATCAAAGATTTAGGCTTTAACTGGCTTACTGTTAGATTTAGACTTCAAATTCAAAAATTTCAAAACCAATCAATCGACAAAAGTCTTTCAAAATCAACCAATCGACATAAATCTCTCAAATTGCAAACATTTTCCTAAATATTATCGCTTTCTGTTCATCAATACACTTTGTGGCATTGATTTCATTCAAATCTTTCTTCAATATTATCATTTTATCAAAGATTTAGACTTTAACTGGCTTACTGCTAGATTTAGACTTCAAATTCAAATTCAATATTCTTTTTTGTTACCATAATCCTTTATAATCTTATTCTTTATAGGCTATAGTAGCCGGGGCAGACTTTAGAATGTTCTGTGCTACGAGTTTGAGTTACAGCGCTCGAATTGTAGCTGCTATTGCTACTATAGCTACTGCCGGTTTAGAATCGCTAGCCACTTCAGAGAGTTTGAAAATGTTAACAAATTAATCTTCTGAACTTTGTCTTTTATTTATTTCATTCAAAATGTCTTATTGTCTTTTTCAATGAATTAACGTCATTCACCTTTCCATTTCAGATCTCCTCTAAAACCGATGAGCAATGTCTTCGTCTCGATTCATCCCCATCTCCACAATCTCCACCTCATCCCCTCCATCATCTCTTTCTTCTCAATCAATCGATGCTTGTTGCTTTGTTTGCAATGAATGTCCCTCATCGTTCTCATCATTTATTCTCCTCGAAAATCACCTCGACTCACAGCACAGAAATCGACGAAACCCGCTTGGGAAACACAACAACAACAACAACAACAACAACAACAACAAAAATCAGTCAACCTCGGAAAAAATGGTTCGTTGATGATTAATGAATTGATCTCATTCAGTCACCAACTTGACTGTCAAGCTCTCTCAATTCGTATCTTTGACCAATCTCGCTTTTCACATAGTTTCCCGGAGTTCATATCAATTAATCACCCACTTTTCCCCCCACTTGAGTACCATCTTGTAACAATCCACGTAACAATCCACTTAAATTTTTCAAAAAAGCCAGACTTGAAACTCAATCAAACACTCAGTAAATAGCTTTTTTTTTTAAACCGAAAGAGAAAGAATTTGATGTCAAGTGATTGAGGGAAAAGAGAGGCGGATCGGACAAACTGGAAAAGGGTCAAGTTCAGATAATCATAACAACGAGGGCTTTATTTTCTTTTTTTTAATGCCAACTTGTTTTTCTTTAAGTCTTCAAGTATAACCATTTAGCTATTTAGCTTTTAAACTCATAAATTACTCTTTTGCAATCATTCAATCCGTTTTGCAATCATTCAAAGTGAAAGGACTGAACCGGCTTCAACATATCCGTCCGTCACAATAGTTACTCAATTTAGTTACTGTTTAAGTGAAAAAAAAGGTTTAACGGATTGTGAAATCTCAGCCGAAAATTTTTTCTTAAAAAACTTTCCCATTGTGACGCTGGATATGTTGAAGCCGGTTCAGTCCTTTCACTTTGAATCTTTGCCAAAAAAGGAAGCCCCTAATACCAGGGGCGTATGCCAGATGGAAAGCGATTACGCGGCCGCACAGAGAACATCTTTTTCTTTTGCTTTATAGATCGTATCAAAAGAAAGATATTCCGCTTTAAATTTGTACCCGAGGGTTTTCGGGATCGGCGAATCGATTGACGCTATTCATTTTAGTGAGTCTACCAATCTTTTTCTTGGGTTTCGGATCGGGTCTAGATCAGCTAGGGCTCCATCTAGATCAGCCATAGGCTTCATCTAGATCAGCTAGGGCTCCATCTAGATCAGCTTAGGGCTCCTTGACCAGACTGTCTAGTGATCACCAGATGATCACCAAATGATTCCTTTTTGTGTATTAAACTATAATAGATCTTCAAGTTTAGTTAGAACCCTAAGATCTCAACTTTAACTTCAACTCAACAAGAGCCTAATCCTTTCCTCTAAGACCTACATCCCCGTTTAATGATCATCTGGATTCAAGCCAATAAAACCATTTTTTTTGTAGTCTCTTTCGGGTTATTACTCGAGTTTGAAGATCGAGAGAAAATAGAGATGGGTCACTCGGTGCCATCCACGAATTGATGGGGGAAAAGAAAGATTGAAAGAAAAGGAGATTCACCTCACGCACACCACGCGAAAACAGCTGCTGCTCGGACACGAAGAAGCACACGTCCCTCGATTCCCTTTTAGCCCTTAATCCTTTTTATCCTATCTTTTCCGTTAAACAACTGTCCATCCGCTCTCTCACAAATGGACATCACTTTTTGGAGTTGCCGCTAATTTTGGATCAACCTTTGTCTGTTACTAAGCGAAATTTTCCTTGACTTTTCCTTGAAACAGCATTTTTATTTGAAACTAACTCAGCTATATGACTGTGCTAAAGATATAACTTCAAATAATTGAATCTAACGGGTTACTATAGCCCATACAGTAGTTATATCTAAGCTCTTGCACTCTTTTTCTCAAAAAAAAAAACCCTAAGAAAAGCCTCAAGTCACTGGAAGTCTCGTCTTTTTTCTCTTCTCCTTCTACAGACTCTTGTTTGAGCTCTCTTGACCCGTGCAATGAGAGTCTTTTGACAATCAGAAGAACACAAATATAGGTTTCTTTCGGTGGCTTGTTGTCAAGGGTTGAGGAGGTAAAAAGAGCTAGATGTCCTGTGGGGTGTGCCATGGTTGGTATCCAATCCCCTTTGCATTGTTGTTTGCGGGTGGCTCCTCCCAATCCTTTCTCCTTTGAGCTTCTCGTTGACGTGTCTCTTTTCCTTTCCTTTAGATGCCACCACAGTGTACCCCAATACCCTATGGCCCTTTGCTCTGACTCTTCCCTTCTCCATTCATTCCAGTCAAATAGAACTTGTTGAGTTTTTCGTGACCTTTCACTCCTCTTTCACTTCTCTTTTTTGACTTCTACTGTAACTTATTTTTTGGTTTTACGTTTAAAACTTTGATTACTTTTTTTTCTTCTGTACTTTAGATTCTTTAGATTTAGAGTAATTCTTTAGATTAAATACTACCTTAACTTTGATTTCTTTTAATCAAATTCAATTCGAACTTAACTAAATAAAGATCCCTCATTGAATAATCCTTTGAATCAATCAGCTACCAGCTAATCAGCTAATCAGCTAATCAGCTAATCAGCTACCGTAGCTACTTGCGACAAACTGTAGACTACAGTAATCCCAAGTATCATCTGCAGAGATTCTTTTGATCCAATTCAAATCTAAAGATTACGATACTTTTGCAAACTCAAGAGAACTCAAGTACAGTAAAATCTGTCTACCGTAATCTTTCCTTACTATTGGTTTTAGAAGAATCTTTAGCGATAAGATATTCATACCTCTTTACTCTTTAGTTGAGTCAATCTTTACTCTTTAGTCTTTAGTTTAGTCTTTAGTTGAGTCAATCTTTAAGTCTAGCTTTATCTCTTAACTCTTAATTTTCATAAATTCAGGAAATGAAGATCATGGTGAAAAGCGAAGAATTAGAGGCTGAAATGGAAGATGATGAAGGAATCGATCATCGATCATCCACACTAACAAATACACCATCACCTAATGGATCGGAGGTGGGGTAAAGGGAGAAAAGATTTACGAATGAAAACTGGGTATTGGAATGACTTGCTTAAAGGCTTAAGAAGAATGACTTTTATAATAATTGCTTTTATAATAATTGCTTTTATAATAATTGCTTTTATAAGAATTCCTTGATAAAAATTGCTTTTATAAGAATTACTTTTATAAGAATTACTTTTATAAGAATTACTTTTATAAGAATTACTTTTATAAGAATTGCTTTTATAAGAATTACTTTTATAAGAATTACTTTTATAAGAATTTCTACTTTCAGCATAGTGGTTCAATGCTTGAAGACGGCCGGATGGTGAGCCATTTGATGAACAAAAATGAATGCCGTTTTTGCCATCAAATTTTTGACAATCAGACACAGGTAGGGGGGTTGATTGTTTTGGGGATTAACTTTTCTTTGAGACTTCAGATATTACAGTTACTCTTCCACATTAGCTCGGATTTCTCTAATCTATTTGCTAAAAAGATCAATGAGTAAATAGGGGAGTTCTTGATTGGAAGATTAACCTGAGCACTTGAGAAGGGGATCTGTAATGTAGAGCTGTAATTAGCTTAACCAAAAATCTCCATCTTCATTGAATATTACTGTTTTTTATAAAAAATTCAATTTCTCTTTTAGTTGAGCATTCACTATACACAATCACATTCGGAGAGACGCCATTACTCGTGCTCTGAATGTAGAGCTGTTTTTGCTGTCAAACGGGAATTGGCTACACATTTTCGCATTCATCAAGGAGCTACTCCGCATACAGTAAGTGACAATTGTAAAGGAAAAATAAAGGGAAACAAAGGGAACACAAAGGGAACTTGTAAAGGAATGATAAAGGGATTATAAAGGGATTATAAAGGGATTATAAAGGGATTTAAAGGGATTTAAAGGGATTTAAAGGGATTATAAAGGGATTTAAAGGGATTATAAAGGGATTATAAAGGGATTTAAAGGGATTATAAAGGGATTATAAAGGGATTTAAAGGGATTTAAAGGGATTTAAAGGGATTATAAAGGGATTATAAAGGGATTATAAAGGGATTATAAAGGGATTATAAAGGGATTTAAAGGGATTATAAAGGGATTATAAAGGGATTTAAAGGGATTTAAAGGGATTTAAAGGGATTTAAAGGGATTATAAAGGGATTATAAAGGGATTTAAAGGGATTATAAAGGGATTATAAAGGGATTTAAAGGGATTATAAAGGGATTATAAAGGGATTTAAAGGGATTTAAAGGGATTTAAAGGGATTATAAAGGGATTATAAAGGGATTATAAAGGGATTATAAAGGAATTGTAAAGGAATTGTAAAGGAATTATAAAAGGATTATAAAGGAATTATAAAGGAATTGTAAAGGAATTGTAAAGGAATTGTAAAGGAATTATAAAAGAATTATAAAGGAATTATAAAGGAATTATAAAGGAATTATAAAAGAATTATAAAGGAATTATAAAAGAATTATAAAAGAATTATAAAAGAATTATAAAGGAATTATAAAAGAATTATAAAGAAATTATAAAAGAATTATAAAGAAATTGTAAAGAAACTGTAAAAGAATTGTAAAGGAAAAATAACAAACAAACAAGTTACAGATAGATTTAATAAACTCACACAATTTATGTTTAGTGTGAAGAGTGTGGGAAAGAGTTCGGCACACGACAACTCTTGAAGAAACATTGTATGTGGCATTCGGGTGAGAGAAGTCATGTGTGTCCACACTGTAACAAGGCTTTCTTTCAGGTAAACATAGTCAATCATCTTTCCTATCAACTTTCCTCTTTTTTTCAGAAAGGTCATCTCACTCAACACTTAATGATTCATGCTGGTGGTCGGCCTCATGTCTGCTCTCTTTGCAATAAAACATTCATCTTCAAATTCGATCTTAATCGTCATATGAAAATCCACGCTGAACGGGGATTCTCGTGTCAACATTGTGGAAAAGCTTTTGCAAGACATAAACAATTACAAGAGCATTTGTTGGTGAAATGCAAAGCGAATCCGAATAGGTGAGTGAGTCCAGCAGTCCACAATCCAGCATCGAACTACCGTAATCTAATCTCTAGCATTCTAGCAAACGAATTCTCCATACAATCCCAATCAATTTCCAGTGCCCCATCAACCCCATCCAGCTCCCAGCACTCTGAGAGACGATCCTCGATGATTTCCCTGCCGATCTCCATCCCATCATCTACTTCTTCCATCGCTCCATCAACTCCATCATCACTTCTCCAATCTGTTCCCGTTTCTCTATCAAATCTCCCACAATTGGTCACTCCTCGTCCGATTTTGCCTACTTTCCAGAATTTATCTTTTGGAAATCTCTCTGTTGAGGATTTACATCGAGTTGCCCAATCGCTTTTGACTCAACACCGTCCAGTTCCTCAACCGGACCCATTACCACAGGTTAAACTATCTCTGATTTTATGCAGCTTGCATTAGATAGACGAATCTATGCTTTCTATATCCAAAACAAATCAAATACACTGTTTCATTTACAGATGTGCCTTCTTTGTGCTCAACCGTTCCCTTCTCAAGAAGCCCTTTTCCTTCATATGTCTAAGCATTTCACTGCAAATCCTCAACTCTTCAATAATGCTTTGATTGGGAAACAGGAGGTAAAAGTGAGTAAAAGTGATGAATTTCATTTTGACTTTATTTTAATTTTAGCCGGACACCCTCCGCACACCACTCTCCGTAATGGCCTCACTTCCAAACGCAATGGAACAAGATGAAGTGAACACACCGTCGATCACTGACTCGGCGACGAGCTCGAGTTGCCCGAATAGGTGAGGAAATGTAGAGAAAGATGAAAATTTCGCCTCTTTAAGCCCTCAAAAAACGTCACCGATTGAAGTACACCCGTCGAGATCTCCATCGCCGATTACAACGACGGGGATTGAAGAGAGATTGAAGATTAAGTGAGTTGAAAGACTTGATATTGTATATTACTGTGATAAATGAATAATATTATGGAGATCATTTGCAGATGTTGTGAGGAATGCGTTCGGCAACGAGCCCGCACAGAAGAATTGGAGGGAGAAGTGGAAAGACAAAGGGAAATGATAAGGAATACGAGACATTTACTCGATCAGGTAAGATGGGATGAAGAATTGATTGGAGATTTGGAAAGTTATTGATTGATTGATTGGCTACGAATCGGATGTTGAACTTACCGTAAATACTGTAAAAGTACCCCCACCCCGATAATGACGGTGCGGAGCGTTGCGTAGTCTAGCTTTGAACGAGTTTTTCTCGACACTGGTTTATGCTACAATGCGCGCTTAGATATCAAAAAATAGCTGAAATTCAGGGCTATTTTTTGATACCAAAAACGCATTTTTTGAAAGTACGGGCGCTTTGAAAAAAAAATGAAATACTAAAAAACTAAAAAACTTTTGCGACTACGCGACTGTACGAGGGGAGCGTGGGGTACTATTACAGTATTTACGGTAGATTAAACTTAGATTAAATCTTTTCTAATCTTAAGATCTAAACTGAAATCAACGAAGGATTCTAGGTGTCATTGTTGGCCTCTCAATTGGGCGGTTGCTCTCCATTCGATCCATCATTCGCTTTGCAGACAAAACACGTTTTTCAACAGATTCAAACAGCTCTCCGAAATGTTGAATGTCAATGAGGATTGCAGAATTTGATGACAAGCAGATCATTTGATTTATGATTTTGAATTTTAGATTAGATTTCCCCAAGACGAGTCTACTTTTGATGAACTTTTGTGCCTTTGACATGAGGATTTTCCTCTTTAACTCTTTTTTTTGTAGCCTTTACTTTTTCGTTCTTTTTCGAACCCAAACTCCAACGGATTTTTTTTGAAGACAAAGCACTGGTAGCTGTGAAATGAATTAATATCTCATCGAATTCGAGAAAATTGGGAAATGAATTTGGTTTAGATTTGAGAATGAATTGAAAAAATTGAATAAGTTTTCAATTTTTTCCCAGTTTTCTGATGGGGTAGGCTAATTTGCGCCATTTTATTTGCGTAACTTGCCAAACTTGCCATAACTTTCTTCTTTGTCGGCCAATCTTTATGATTTTGGTGCCATTTTGTAGATCTCAATAAGTGCAACAAAATGACACAAAAATCATAAAGATTGACCCATTTAAAGTCATAAAGAAGTCATAAAGAAAATCATAAAGATTGGCCCAGATTGGCCCAGTACGCAAAACGCCTAGTTACGCAAATAAAATGACGGAAATTTGTCTACCTTTTTCTGATTATTGTTTACTTGTATCTTTATTTATTAACTTATTTTGTTTTCTTTGTTTCATTGCTTTTTTTCTTTCATTGCTTTTTTTTGCTTATTTGTGCCTCATGCGACAAACGTGCCTTATGTGTACAGGAGACATTTCATTTCTCGTTTATTTTGAAATACTTTCGATAAGATTTGTTTAGATGAGTACCATATTTTATCGGTAATCGTTTTTAAAGCATTTTTTTTTTACCAAGATCCTTATATCCCTATCCAATATGTTGATCCAATTTGATCTTTATATTTATTTCTTTTCTCCTCAAAACTCCCCCATTCACTTTTCTTCTTTTTTTTTTAAACCACTCTTTTGCATTTAAAAAAATGAAAGAAACGAGTCGCGAAAAGCCTCAAATTGATGTAATTTTCAAGTTTTTTTTTGCTCAATCTTTATCATTTTTATATTTTTGACAATCGATCAATTCTCTGATCGATCTCACCCGCATCCCGATCCGCCCACTGTGTAGAAAAAGCCCATCAAAAATAAGTTGGCAATGGTTTACGTTTAAAATAAATAAAATAGCTGATTGTGTTGCTGTAAAATCTAGCGTTTATCACAAAAATGATAGATGAACCAATGAAAACCATTGCCAATCAAAAAGCATTCGATATCTCGGAATTCATTCGTGATTTCCTAACATTATTCTCGTTCCTTGAAGGTTTGTCTGGTCAGAGAATCTTTTTTTCTCTTTTTTTTGTGTGAATGGGCTCAAACTTTGAGCTGTCTTTGCAAAAAGCTTTCTCATCATTTTTTTTGTTTCAAAATATTCACAAGGGAATGTCAACCAGTTGTGCTGACCAAATGGAACGTGCCATAGGTTGTCCGACGCAAAATTTTGCGCTGATACCGAATCTGCTTTTCTTATGGAGACAGAGTCTGTCAAAAGTTATGCGCGTGCAAAAGTTTTGTTAGGTACTTTAGTTTGTTAGAAATCATTCCTCGAATTTGTAACCAGATTTCCTAGAGACTTAAAGAAGCGGCAGTGGCCGAGTGGTAAGTTTATTCGATCCTCAAAATGATGCTTGCTTCGAATTTAATCTTTGTCCTACGAGGAAACAAATTGTGCGACTTTGACTTCTAGGTCTTATCTCTGTCATAGCTATAGTCAGATTATGCTTTTTCCGTTTCATTCTGCGTCGAATAACGTGTGGCACACGCCATTTGGTCACCACATCCCGTTGACATTCCCTTTTCAGTTCGTGAAAATTTCACCGCAAATTTTCTCCCAAAAGTCTTCCAATTAATGCCATACTTGTGCGTGCTATATTGAAAGATCAATTTGTAAAGCAAAAAAAAACGAATAAATGGTGCTCATCAGTGAAATTGTTTGGAGAAAATACAATGAATGAATCAAAAGAATTCAAAAAGTAAAGCATAAACAGTGAAATTACATTTAATATGCAAAAAATTAGCACTTAAAGAAGCCTCTTGAGGGAGTTCCCCTCTCCACAAACTATTTTTTCCTACCTTCTTCTTTGTAATCAGTTTGCAAGTCGCCTTCAGATGTGGAATAGTGAGTTTTATTTCGTTTTCTTTTTGCTAATCTTCATTTTTTTAAGAATTCGTTAGCAAATTAAAGAAAATTTTTCGAAAAGGAGGCGATGGTTGGTTTTTAAAGGATTTCTAGCTTAAGGTTTTGCAAAGTTTATGCCAAATTTATTTTTTTAGATCGTCACCAAGAAAGGGATGAACCCGCCCTGGCAAGAGTCGATCAGTAAGGGATTTCAATTCTTAAAAATGCTTAAAAGCATGATGTTTAAATGTTTAAAGCATGTTTAAAAGATTTTAAAATTTTTTTGGTTTAGTTTTGGAAGCTAACGTTAATTTTTGAAGCGTTTAAGTTTGTTGTTTGTTGTTGTTTAACAAGTTGCTTAAAAGCTAGTGTTGCTTCATTAGTCCTTCATTAGTCTAGTTTAGATCACTGAGAGATGGAGAAAGGACAAAACCGAGGCCACAACGCTTTCGACCCAAACCACCTCAACCAGTGCAACTAGTACCCGCTCCATCGAGTTCGTTTTTTCATCTTTTTGGACAATTTTTTGTTTAACTCTAGTTATTCTTTTAGGACAAGACGGTCACGAGAACCTCGGCGAAGGCTGAGCGAACGATCAAAACTCCATCACCCGTTGAGGCTGCTCCAGCTAACGTGAATCCATACCCCAATCCCTACAAATCACAAAAGAGCATAAAGACGGCAAAAACGATGAAGTCAACTACAAGTACTTGTTTCATCACTTTACTTTTTAGCTTTACTTTGACTTAGTTGATGATGCCTTGCCAAGAGCCGTGAATCGGAGCCAGAAGGTTGGGAGTTATTTCTAATTTTTTAAAAGTGTTTTTTAGAAAAGCGATCGTGAAGGCCGGAAAGAGGGAAATTCGATGAAATCAATTGGAACGTTTTTTGATGAAGTTTCAAGGGTAGATTTTGGAAATCCTCTTTAAATTGCTGATGTCATGTATTTAGCGTGCAAAGAAAACCTTCCGTTTCAAGTCAAAGACGATCTCGCAGAGCCGTCTAGCAAGATGGACACAAAAAGTGGAAGAAAGGCGAAGAAGACGACAAGAAACGCCAGTTACGAGAAGTCTCAGAGCTTACGAGGAGGTGTTTCCCGATGCAATGTAAGAATTTATTAATGGGTTAAACTAGGAGTTAAGTAAATGAATTGCTAAAAGGGTGTTGAAAGTTTGGCCAACTTTGAAATTTTGCTTTTTTAGTACGGCAAGCGCACGTCGAAGCTCGATCGACGACGACAACGGCAGCACAAAGCCATGAAAGTTTCTCCATATCGAGTGGGAAAAGAAAAGGAAATATGGCCGCGGATGGAGGAGTACTTCTTGATGGACGACCGTTTTGGTTGGAACAAAGCGATGACGATCTTCCCACCGACGATGATCTTCCGATGAATGCCGAAGTGGTGCTGGAGGTGTGGGCCGGAAAGATCAAACTTGTACCCATGCCTACAATCCCGTAAGTTTTAGCTTTTATGCTTGTTGTTTTTATTAGCAGATTCTTGTTCAACATTTTCTTTAGAATCAAGCTCGATCCGATGGCTGCCCAAAGCCAGCTGAGCGACAAGGATCCGCTTTTCTTCAACAAACAAGTGCTTTTCGGGAACACGGTGCGCACGATGATCAATGCAACTGGTTAGTAGAATTTAAATGGACCCTTTAAATATTGTCTTTTAGATAATTGCAATACAACTTCTTCGGATGATCGTAGTGAGTTAAGCGCCTGCAATCAAATCTCAGAGTTTGTTGCATTTTTACGTTTTTAATTATCTTTTCTTTAGCATTCAAGCGTCCATCGATGCAAATAGGGAAAAACAGCTGACTTTTGTTGAGCCAAAAGATATCGTCAGGTAAATCATTGAGTTGCTTTCAATTCAAAAGAATTCTTAGGTACACGGCAAAGAAGCTTCGTCGAGACATGTTTCATAAGAGTACAATCTCGGATCGCACAATGAAAGGAAGAAAAAAGTGACTTCAAAATGAATCTGCAACAAATTCCTACTTGTTTCGTTTGTTTATTTCGCATCATTGTGATCATGCAAATAGTTTCAACTTATTTGCTTATCTCGGAGTGGTTTGGCTGCCTTCTTAAATTTGCATTAAGCCAAAGAAACCGTCGAAAGATTCTAGTTTTCTTTTCGGTCGATCAGCAAGTGCACTTCACTTGATTGTGCAGCTACATACCAACCGGGTTAAATCTGTTTTAATATACAGGGTCTCCGAAAAAATCATCGGTTTGAGTCTCGAAAAATTTTCCCGTTGGTTTTTCAAGGCTCATCGTGGTGTCGAAAACGGTTTTGCCTCAGGCAACACAACAAGATTAATTTTATTTTTCGACTTTTTAGGGGTTTCTTGTTCTCAAGGCCCTATTATCAAAACAAATTTATGCAAAATTGAGTTTCGTGTCGGTTCAGTGTTTTTGTCAACATGCATTGCTTCAATTCTACCCGCACATAACCCAAATTTTTATTAAATAACAACGGTGAATTTAACGAAAAACCGAGCTGTGCTCAAAAATGAAAGATCGGTAAAAAAGGAAAGGTGCAAAATTACAAAATAACAAAGATAAAGGTTGCTTAAATGGGTTTGAAAGATTGAAGAATTAATCGGGACGGATTTGGAAAAAACAAGGTAAAACAATATTCACAGGTATTAGTTCAATAGCAGCGTTTATTATTAATCGATCTCAAGGCCCTAAAATGTTATACTAGTATTAGTTCAAAAATAATAAGAATACCTTTTTGACGTCGCGCATAAACTGCCGATGCTCTTCCTCACTGCGCTTCAAATTTAGCATCATTTTGTTGGCGGGACAATACCTCAAAGTTCTATATTAAATAGTTAAAACTTCTCTTACATGTCTGTGTGATTATATATTCCAACAGCTCCACATCGACGACAGGGTGACATTGAAGCCAACTTGGGACAATTCTTCTTCGTGTGACCGTAGTAGTAACGCTGACCCGATGATCGACAATAGCTACATACCTCCTGAACTCGATACAAGCCTAATAAATGTATAAGATTTAAGTACCACGGGACCATTGAACTTTGGTGCTCCATTTTGATTTTGAAAAGGGTCAGTTATTGGTGGATGAGGCTAAAACAAGTGATTTTACAACAATTTACTTTAAAATCTAGTCTATTAAAATTCGACCTGACGAAAGACTGGTGAAAAAGCAATAGTTGGAATCCTTGGTCCTCGAACTGGCATTTGCATCAAACTTGGAAGAACTGAGAGCGGCCTGACTTTTCGCACCGGCACATTTTGTGGTCTCTAAATGAGAAATAAATAAAAAAATGGTAAGCAATAAAATAAATTTCTTGTGATTAAGCGAATAATCCCACCGTCTCGTCGATATGACATGTCTGAAAGATAGGCCTTGGAGTCACTCGCATTGGAATCCTTGAGGTTGCTTGCATTGGAGTCCTTGGAAAAGCGTCTTCGAATGGCGGAGCAACGATCTAATCAGACATTAGCCTAATTTCCATGCAGTAAACAAATACCATAGCAGCGGGTCGTTGAGAATGGCCATTTATACCAGTAATTGGTTGTCTCTGAATGGTCAGCTTAAATAATGATTGTTAATAATGAACTAATATAACAAACCAAATCGTCAAGCATCTGAGCACTGGCCTCCACGGCACCTTCACTACAACTCTGTGATCTTCGCTATAAATTAAAGAATGTAACTTCGAGTCCTGCAAAAAAATACCGAATTTTGACGCACACGCAAGCTCTCCATGAAATTGCCGTTTGATTCCTTGAAAAGATATATTAGTAAAGGAAAAAAAATATAAGCACTACCTGTAAGTTAGCCATTTGATTAGTGCCAAAATCGCACTGGTTAGACTCGCTCTCGTTTCCCGGTAGACTGAAAAGCTTTAGGATAAAGTTTGCTTTTAAGACAAGCCAACCTTTGAAGGGGTGGATCCATCCCTGGTTATTATTTGTTAGATTCACTAAAATATAGATTTAAACTAACGCAGTAAAGAATGAAAAGTAAAAACGTGTTACTGGCACAAGCGTAACTCAAAATGACCGAGTTGCACAATTTTATATTTGTTGTTGTTTGTAATAGTTGTTTGCTTGAATATCTTTTCACTAATAAATTCTAGACACCCTCTCATTTTTCGATTAACTTATGGTGTGCGGAGTGTTTTTGCGCACCCGGCCCATTTGTGCACCTTTTTTCGCGTTTTAAAAAAGCTCTAAAAAGCTAATATTAACCAATTTTCATTCCAAAAGTTGTTTTTCTGGGCAATTTTAGGGTGTAGAATCCAAATTTTTACATATCGAAGCTTGTGGAAAAAAATAAAAAAATAATAAAAATTACCCAGAAAAACAACTTTTGGAATGGAAATTGGTTAATATTAGCTTTTAGAGCTTTTTTAAAACGTGAAAAAGGTCGCATTTGTCCCACTTCCTTTCGTGTATAATATTTCAAAGTTTAAAAAACATCATACATTATACATTTCGAGTGTCCCCCTAAAGACACTTGAACACTTTTCGACTGGCCAGCTTTAGTTATCATTTTATTTCTTACATTAAAACAAATCCAATGATCTAATGATCTAATAAGCTTGAAGCAAGTCATGCGTTTATTTGGAAAGCATTCATTTTGTGAGTTCCACAATGCAAGTTCTGATTGATTCTCTCCAAGATCTCGTTATCAATTCAGTGGAAAATGAGGGGAAAAAATCCATTTTTCAATTTTTTGCCAAATGGTGAGTTTGTTCTTGTTTCTGCGCTTCATTCGGACTCAATTTTCATCAATCATCTCACCGAACAAGCACCGGTTTGTAGTTTAATTTGTTATAGCAAAAGGAAAGTTGAATATTTGATTTTGGTTAACTATAAACTTTGATCTATGCAGCTAGTTTAGATTTCTTGCGACCAACATGCAGCTCATCGTGCGCATACTCCACCTATTCGGGACAACGAGGGTTTTAAGAGCACTTATTTACTGGTGTGTTTTCGCATTCCTCACTCACTTTCTATTTAGTCACATATGGAAGAACTTTGTGAGAAACTCGAGAAAATCGCATCGAAACAATAGTGTTGTGCTTTTGGATTTGTTCTGTAGCACCTAAATTTGATTCAGGTATTTCCTTCAGTTGGATTTTAAAAGTTTTCATTTTATACGTTCCACCAACTTCACCTTGACTCAATCATCAAAGAACCCAAAAAATTGTGTATATGTTGTCAAAGCCTAGCCAAAGTATTTTTTTCCTGTTGTGACAGTGGATTTACCTCTCGCTTTTCTGAGAATTTACTGACTGGTCTGTTTAGCTGATTGTTTTTTTGGCTGAATTATAACCGTTTTTGGTGTTAAATAGTTAAATATGATATTTCATTGTCCAGTAGTGTACATATTTTTAAATTTTTTAACATGTTGACGACATTGTCACCTGATGCTGTCTGACACATATTCGTTCGCCTGGGACATTGTCACCTGATGTCAGGTGACAGTACCAAAAGTGATTTTTTTGTGCATATTTATGTTTGCTGATGATGGATATTAAATAAGCAAGTAGGGTAGTATCTATATGTCGTAGCCGATTATGAATGAAATTTTTTGGCAAATCTTTCTAGTAGAGCAACCCTTTAATGTATGAGGACAATATTATATCATCTTGTAGCGAATTCAATTCTGCGTCGATTGGTACCAAATTAGTGAGTTTAGGTTAAAAATTCCCGGCGCTACAAACGTTTCATTCAAAATCGGCGAGAGCCCCGTAGCCGATTATGAATGAGTGGGTCTAGGAGCGTCCAAGCATCAAGTATTTCGTATCATTCAACGCAGAATCATTGATAATTATGTTAAATTTTTTAAATTAGCAAGATTTGATGAAAAGAAAAAAAAATTAGAGCAAAAAAGCTGTTTGTTTAAGAGAAAACTTTGAAGCCCCATAATTTGTGTTCTTTTTATCCAATCTTTCTAATTTCAAAAATTTAACATAATTATCAATGATTCTGCGTTGAATGATACTAAATACTTGATGCTTGGACGCTCCTAGACCCACTCATTCATAATCGGCTACGACATATATTCGACTTGATCCCGGAAAATGTCGATTTAACCGTTGATTATTAAAATTTTAATTTTTTAGGTGACAATTTCAGGTGACATTTTTTGTCGAAAAAAAACAACGTTGTCCGATGCGATTGTTTGTGCAAAAACGCCATTGTCGTCAACGTGTTAAAAACATCATGTTTCTTTATTAAAAAAATACCGACTGGGGCTACCAGTGGTGAATTTATCGCATACACGAAATATATCAATCACAATACAACGACACACACAATACTAGGCTATATCTTAACTTAACCCACGTCATGACAGACGGCTCCCACATGACTAACCCTAAGCTCAATGGGGAACTAAATAGCTTTTTTGGTGGTGAAGGGAAGATGACGATGAAGGATTATTATTAAAAAAAAATAGCTAAAAGTACATAAATAAAGTACAAAAAAAGTTTGCTTATAAATTGAATTAGAAGAAATTCTTTCGAAAAGATTTGTTAATTCATTGTTCCATTTTGTGACTCAAATTGTGCGCATAGGATTTAGAAGTTGATGTCCGAGTAGGTGAAAGAACCCCAATCGATCTCCATAGCGATTATGTCTAAAGCAAGAAAAGTTTCATTTGATCATTTGTGTCAAGCATTTTGCCAGTCTTATCTTTATCTTTTTAATAAACCTATCATTTCTATATAGCACTTAAGAAAACGATTTCAAATCGAAAAATCAACTGACTGGCAATGACTGGTGCCATTCAATAGCCTCAAATATCTTCTTTGTGATTTCAGCCTCCAATGGTTCAATTGATAAAGTTATTGTTTAGAATCTAGCATTTTTGTCTCTCCTAAGGAAAAAATTGTTTGCCTAATTGGCACTCACATGTGCTCTAGACCATTTAATAGTTTTATCACAGCTCTTGGTCTCACTTGGTCTCGGTGCTGCGCCCATCCGTGTGTGGACGAGATGATAGCGAGTTAGAGTGCAATCCGGTTTGCATTTTGCATAGATCGATTTCTCCTTCCTCGTACCCGGCATTGGCTTCTTCTTCCCTAAATCATAGCCAATTTGCAGACAGACAAAAAGACAGACAGAAGGACAGACAGAAAGACAGACAGAAGGACAGACAGATGGGCAGACAGACAGAAAGACAGACGGACAGAAAGAAAGACAGAACAGACAGACAGAAAGACAGACAGAAAGACAGACAGAAAGGCAGACAGAAAGACAGACAGAAAGACAGACGGACAGACAGACAGAAAGAAAGACAGACGGACAGACAGAAAGACAGACAGAAAGACAGACAGAAAGGCAGACAGAAAGACAGACAGATGGACAGACAGATGGACAGACAGACAGAAAGACAGACGGACAGACACGTACAGCCATGTCATCCAAAGTCACTTGTAGACTTACGTGATGTCAACTTTAGCATAATCGCAAGGCTGAAAGTTCTTTCGATCGTCTTCTGTCACCAAGTGCGCCATTGTCCTGGGTAGACATTTCCAGTTATTCTAAAGTTTCTAGTTTTTAAAAAAAAGATTTGTTTCTGTACCCTGATCAACTCGTATCGACACCTTGAAAAGCAGTCGAACTCGGTCTCATCACCAGCTTTCCTCTCCACACATATCGTTTCACCCCCGATGCTCTTTGGAAGGTGCACACGTGTCTCTATCTCGACAACCAATTTGTGGTACTCACCAATACAACCCTAAACAATCTCCTGGTAAAAGTTTATTCAAAGAATGAAATTTAAAAGTTTTTTTTTGCGTATTTATCTAGCTGGATGTCACCAGGTTGTTTATTGTTATACTAGCCATTCTTTAGAAATTTTGAGGCTCTACTTTCTTTTTGTGGTTCTAGAGTGTTGGCTTGGAGAACAAAAGGGCAAGAGTTTAACTCCCACAAGTCACTAGTAATTTAGTTGGATGTCACAGGCTTGACTCCAAAAATGGTAGCCATGCTGTGGGAAATTTGAGATCTCATGGTTGAGACGATTTTTGTCAGACCCCATCAAAGAATCCATCGGTTGCCCTCGCTTGTCCATCAAAGATTTCATCAAAGAATTCATCGCCTTTCAGGAAACGATTCAACGAGGACACGCGACCGTGAAAGTCCACTTGCATACAATCGAAACTCTTGACACCCTTAGCGACCAGATTTTCCACATCCGTTTGCCAGAATAGAGTGAAGAATTTCCCCTAAACAACAATATTTTGAAAGATTCAATTTTTTTCTCCAAAACATTCTTGTATATATGTAAACTGAATCAAACTGTGACCTTCAAGCTAGATGATCAGCCACTTATAAAAGTTGAACCCTGACATCTAGTTGAATTTTGACATCTAGTTGTCACTCTATCGACTGAGCCATTCAAGGCTATCATCTACAATTTACCATAATCTAGTTATCAAATTCGGAATGAAATTGGTGAGCTTCAGCTAGATGTTTGATAGGGTTTGCTAGAGCAAAAGAGAATCCTCACCGGCTTCTCAATGTCTCGAAAAGTTTCTCTCGAATAGATCGGTGAGAAGCACATTTGTTTGATGGAAATCCATTGAATCTTCAGCCTCGGCATGATGCGTTCATCGGAGACGCTTCGCGAAAATGTGAGAATCGATCGCAGGAACAGCTGATTGCCTACTTGATCTCTCAACTCCTCATAGCTAATCCCGAGCTTATCCATCCAATTTTGCCATTTCTAAAAATTGTCGAGAATTGTCGAGAATTCCACTAGATGGGTACGTGAGTTGTGGGAATCGAACCTGGCTTTATCGATTGAAATCTGACTAGTGAATAGTGGGATTTGTTTTCAAATTTGTAAAAGAGTCCCTAAGATATCAGGGATCAAATGTGTGACCTCCAGCTAGTTGATCGGTTTTTGGAGGAATCGAATCCTCGACCATTTGACCGCTAGATCGACTCCCTGCCGATTGAGCCATCTGAGGCTAAGGTTTCAAATTTGCCAGAGGAACGACTACTGTTGCAGGAACCATACCTCTGACATCCAGTTAGATAGACGATCACTTGTCGGAAGCAAATTTTTGTTTAATAGTAAATGTTTACAACAAACCTGATACATGGCCCTTTTTCCGGCTAGCTCTGGTAAGTTCTTGTATCGCCATATCGGATGACCGATTTGTTTTGAGTCGGTCTCTCGTTCCAACGAATTCAACACGGCCAAATAATCGTAAGATTCGAAGAGAAGCCGATCATCCCATCGTCTTGTTGGGTTAAGGGCCAACGATTTGGTGTTCATTTCGGCCAGTTGAGCCTAAAAATCGCAAGAAATCAATTACTTCTTTTATTTATTAAAGCCCAAGTGTTCTAGAAGTAGTAAAAAAAGTTAAAAGCTAGCTGGAAGTCACAGGATTGAACCCGTTTTTGTAATTTCTTTAAGCATTCACCTCAACAAATCGATCCCACTCTTTGATAGTCTCCGATTTGTTCACTTTCACATATGAATTGATCATATCTGCTGACACACAAAAAGTTATATTCGGCAACGAGATCGTTTTATTTATTTGAGGTGTCGTTTCAGAAGACTGCAAAAGATTTCTATACTTTCTAAATCCTTTTTTTATACCGCTATCATATCGGAGGAAAAGACGACAAGAAAGTAGAAGGTAAATGTTCCAAACATTGCCGTTTTCCCATTTCGACTCAAATCGGTTAGTTTTAACATTAACTAAAAGATTTCATGATGATGGCACTTCCAAAAGCAATAGTAAAATTCGAAAGCATTAAAAGCAGCAATTTTCTAATGCAAAAAAGATCTCTAGGCTAACACTCTAACAATTGGCCATCCTGAGATCTCAAACTTATCATAGAGCGGCTAGTATCACGGAATTTATTCTGTGACATCCAATTTGAGGGTCAGTCACTTGTGGGAGTCAAACCCTTTTCCTAGATCCCTAGGCTGACCCTCTACCGATTGAGCCATCTGGGGCTGAGATCTCAAACTTGCTATGAGCGACTCAAATGGCAGGAATCGAGTCTGTGAGCTCCAGCTAGATGGTCGGTAACTCAAGAGAGTTGAACTCCCGACCCTTAAATGAGTGAGTCGACACACTGCCGATCGAGCCAGGCTGTAATCTCAAACTCGCCAAAGAACGGCTAGTTTAGCAGTGTTTAAGTCTGTGACTTCCAGTTAAATCATCATTCAGCTATGAAGCTTTCTCCCACTCTACTCCTAGTGTATTTGTTCATGAAATTCGGTTTATCTTGCCAGAGCAGCTAGGATAGGAAAAAAGGGAGCTTGTGATACCCAACTGCTTAGAAAAAAATAAACTCTACTCTCCATTCTAGTTAGCTCAAACATTTATAAAAACTTTTCTTAAAATACAAAAAATATTGGGGAGTTTAAAACGAGAAAAAATACGATTAAAAAAAAGAATTTTTGAAAGAAATCAAAAAACTTTTTGTGATGTTTTTGTGAAAAACGTTTTTTGCTCAATCGTATTGAGCCTGAGCGTTTTTTTTTCACTTTCTTGACTAATCTTAAACTTTCTGTAAAAAGATATTTGAAAAAGAGAGCAGCATTTTCACCGAAATTGTTTATTTTTGATTGATGACCTTTTTGCTCACATCACTTCCTCTTTTGGTGTGCTTTTTTTTTGCCTAGTTTTTGTTGATGATCATTGTGTGTAGTTGTAGAAGTGCTTGATGAATTAATTGCATCGATGCCTACTCGTATATCTCGTAAATCTCGTAAATCGACTCGTAAATCGAAATCATCTGATCCGACGTCTAATCGGAAAGCGATATCAACTCCAGTACTTGCAACCTACGGTGAAAACAGGCGGAGGATCAATTATGTGTTTCGGTAAGGATAATTTCAGCCCTCTTTTTATGCAGCCCAAAGTGAAATTTCGTGCGATGTGTAAAAGTTCAACGGGTCCTTGTAAAATCAACCATGGATTCACGCCATATCAATATCAAAATTCGAGCTGATGATTATTGTTTTCTGATGTCTGGCGCGTGTTCTCAAGCCAAAAACATGAAATTTTGTTTAGCCCAAAAAAACTCGCATCACTTTTTATGCAAGAAAGCAGTTTTCAGCAAGCCGCATGCTAAAGCGTGGACATTTTAGCGTAATTTCGACAAAAGCAAAGCATTTTGTATCAAACACGGGGGTGGGACAAATGCGACCTTTTTTTTTGCTGGAAAAGGCCTTAGGAAAGGTCGTAGAGCTTCAAAAATGTTTTCATAGAAGGGTATCGTATGCGTTGATTCCGAATTTCGACAAATCACACCTCGCTGACACGTCAAATTTGGGCTAAAAGGCAAAAACTGCAGAAAAGCGTTAAGTTGCGTAGTTTTGCCTTTTAGCTCAAATTTAACGTGTCAGCGAGGTCTGATTTGCTTTGATTTGTCGAAATTCGGAATCTACGCATACGATTCCCCAGTATGGAAACATTTTCGAAGCTCTACGACCTTTCCTAAGGCCTTTTCCAGCAAAAAAAAGGTGCGCAAATGTCCAGGTGCGCAAAAAAAAGGTCGCATTTGTCCCACCCCCATCAAACACACCTTTTTCTCCCTTGTTAGGTATCATCAGGGCAACTTTCGAAGAATCAAACCCTTTATCCCAACATCATCACGATTAGAGTGTGTTCCTCTCGAGTAATAGTGCGAAATAGGAAACAATCTTATTTTCTAAAACGTGGATCAGAAGCATTCTTGTTCAGTGTCCACGTTGTAGAAAATTCGTTCGTTTCTTATTTTGCATTATTACTTGAGAGGAAACACACTCCATTCACGATTCTCTCCTTGATTCAAATTCAGGCGGACGCTTCAATGACCATTCTGTCACTCGGCGCTTTGTTAAACCTGCATCAACTCTTTTACCCAATCACTGGCTTGCTTTTGATTAGTAAGTAAACTTATATATATGTTGTGTCCGATTTAGATTTCCGTCCGATTTAGATTGAATCTAAATCGGACGGAAATCTAAATCGGACACAACATATATATATCCATTTATTTCATGTTGATGTAGAAGTTTAAAATTGCAAAAATTGCACTGAAAATTGCAATTGCTTTCCTTAAAAACCAAAATGAGTTTTTGAAATTTAATCTAAAGTTTTTACACACGCTAATAAAATTACCGATCACGAAAAACTGATTTTTAGTTATCGACTAGAGTTATTTTATTACCAATTTCTTTTCCAAAACTTTACGACATTCATTTAACAATGAACGACGAAAAATTGATGATTTTGGCTGCATTGGGTGAGATGTTTCTGGATGAGATGCACGGGTTTGGCTCTGGCTCCGTCTCTGGAGAGTCGAAACGTATGTGGGGCACACAAGGAGCTTCCTAGTCTTGAAATATAGTGAAATCTCAATAGATAACCTCGATAATACACGAAGCTGTAATCGGATTTCGATAGTCTCTTCGTCGCTTTTAATCTATCAAGCTTCATTAAGGTATTTCATCTAGACTTCGGCAAACAAAACCAAAACCAAAACAGACCAAAACCAAAACACCAAAACAAACCAAAACCAAAAGAAACCAAAACTCAATTTGCATATAAATTAACATGTAAATTTAAAATTGTAAAATGCAAATTTACCTTTCACTTTTTCTCACTCCACAAAATCTCGCGGCCGAAAAAAGGACCAAAACACGACCTTGAAATTTCGAAACAAAAAATAGCCTATGGGATAGATTTTTGGATGCTGATTTCAAATCTGCAAACAGATTTTCGCTAGCTCCTCCCAGTCGCGAGATATTGGCGAGTTTTGGTTAGTTTTGGTTTTGGTTTTGGTTTGTTTTGGTTTTGGTTTTGTTATGGTTTTGGTGGTTTTGGTTTTGGTTAAGTTTTGTTTTCCGAAGTCTAATTTCATCGATGCACTCAAGGTAGCTTTTGAGTGTTCTAACTACTCGGGCACAAAATTTGGCCCCAACTTCGGTAGGTTTATATGGTTGGCACGCCTTGCCTCAAATGCGAGCGTAGATAGTGTGCTGGCGCGTGAGTTTTTGTTGGTTCTTGTTTCGAATTTTACGTCTCCAATTTTACCGCCACAGCTAAAATTCGGCAACTGAATCTGCTCTTCTCCTTCTTTGTGGTGATGGAGATAAATGTCTCTGTCGATCAGCTGGCGGTGCTCTTTGTGGTCTGGCTATTGAAGGAGTTGACTCTGCTCTGAAACACAAAGTGATGAGTCAATTCCATAGATTCCAATAAATAAACTCCAATAAATAAACTCCAATAAACTTTTCTAAAAAAGCGTCTCTATCTGGACCCAAATCTACCATTCTATCCAAAAAGAAGTTTCAAAAAGTCTCGATTTCGAGGGTTCATGGGGGGTGGTCTTCTATTAGAATTCTATTAGAATTTTTACCTTAGCTAGTTTAGCGGGGGTAATATTCCACTAGTATAACCCATAACTATCCACAATTTGAACAAGGCTTGCTAGATAATTTATTCGTATATAAGTGCCAAAGTAGATTTTGATCGAATAACTACATTCGCTAATGATTGTAGAGAAAGCTCTCCCGGTGAACTCATCTGCACATTCCCGATATACTCCAACGATTCATTCACGGCACCGAAATTTTAGAGCTCCAAACATCTTTTTTGAGCTCCAAACATCTTTTGTTGGCTTTGTTGGGATTTCTGGTGACACTTTTTTTAACTAAACTTTTTGGGATAGTGAGTGTTCGGTTAACAATAGGATTCTTTTTTTTGACAGAAAAACCTCAACAAAAAGGCACGCAAATTCTCAATTTATTCACTTTTGACTTGGTGTTGATCGTTTTTGAGCCCTTTTCATATTTAAATCGTTTGACCTAGAGCTTTATGGGGAAAAATGCACGAATTCTTGTGGTTATTCTTGTTCGTCAACGGTTTGATTTTATCTATAGAAAATGGAGGCTCTTTTTTTTGTTTGATCAGTCAATATTGTAGCATTTTATTGTAACGATATTGTATATTGTAAAGATATTGTATATTGTAAAGATATTGTATATTGTAACGATATTGTATATTATAACGATATTATATATTGTAACGATATTGTATATTGTAAAGATATTGTATATTGTAACGATATTGTATATTATAACGATATTATATATTGTAACGATATTGTATATTGTAAAGATATTGTATATTGTAAAGATATTGTATATTGTAAAGATATTGTATATTGTAACGATATTGTATATTATAACGATATTGTATATTATAACGATATTGTATATTATAACGATATTGTATATTGTAACACAATTTTTTTTTCTATATTATTATTATAAAATCCCCTAGGTGTATCGACATGGGAGCTGATTCCCTTGACCGGGGCTCAGCAAACTCAGATCTTAAATGTGCGTAAGAAAAATTTAGATTAGAGATATAGAGATTCTTCGTTTTTCTAATCGTATGCTAATAATTTAGAGACACAACGTCTTTCGCTCCAATCTTGCCAGAGGGCTTTACAAGGCGAAAAGTGGCTTCACTTTTGCCAAAGCTACAAATATGAGAAAATTGGTGAGTCGAGCAAGATTACAAGAAAGAAAATAAAATTTTTAAAAAAAAACAGTTGAGCAAAAAAGCAAACAACCGTACAGGTAAGTTTATACAAAATCCTTTAGGTTTGGAACTACACTTTGGTCCTTGAAGCAGCCACCTATGCGGAAACGTGCCCCCCTAATGCAATCTCAAGTGCTGGGATAAATGTCTACATCCAGCCTGTCGCTCCTGGAGATCCACCAAATACAATAGGCAATTTTATTGAGCTTTATTGTTTATGATTTTGTAGAAAAAAAAAAGATTTAAGATCTCATGGTCAACAAGACCGTGAACACATGGGCTAACCAGTTTTTCACGAATGGACCCAAAGGCTACGTCACTACAGCTGCTACAGCACACGCTACACAGGTGGTGACATTTAATTCCAGTCGACTCTCGATGTAACAAACGATACAACGATTTTGAAATTCTAGAACTAGCACTTATTTTCTGCGCAGCTGCCTACGCAAACGCAATCGTTGACCGTTCAAATTCTAACTTGATCATTTTTTTGTAGCTTAAATCAATGAAACAGCTGCTGCTTCTCGGGAATCCGGGTCTTTTAATTGTGAAAAGCGCCTGAAGGAAGATCAAGATAAACTGTATTATTGAATGAATTTATTCAAAGTTTCTAAACTATGTCATTAAATGAATTTCGGCTTTTGGGTAAAATCTGGAGCTTTTGGTTTAGGCTTTTGCCTCAAATTCGGGGCTTTTGACGGGTCGTCAAGCTTCGAAGACTATAGGCCTTCCGTTCAAAGCCCTAGATTTTAGCTAAGAGTCGAATTTTCTTTGGTGCTGGCCAAATTTCAGCGTATTAGTTACAGTTCATTTATTAAATCTTGAAGAAGACGATTTCCCGTGAAACATATATTCAAACTTGCTACTCTTGACTCCAACTTTGATCTTTTCTTTATCATTTCTCCACGTTAATCCATTTCCTTTTCCCATGTCTTGAACCAGAGACATTGTCACACCTCGACTTGTTAACGAGGCTTCATGTTTTTACCAGTCATCTCAGCGCACTGAGAGTTGCTAGAAATCGAAAACATTTTCTATCTGAAAACCTAGCTTATTAGCTACATTTTGATACAAACATTGAACAAAAATCCTCAAAAAGTATCTGAAAATGATTATCAATACTTAACCGGCCCTGTTTAGGAATTTCAAGGTTTAATGTCATTTTTTTGGTGCTATTTTAAAGAATTTTGCTGAATTTTTGATATCAAAATGAACCTAATAATATTGGCTTTCTGATAAAAAAAGGTTTCAATTTGCTAACAACTTTCAGTATGCCGATGTGTTTGTCCAAACGAGAGCAAGCGCAAAATGTCGTTAGCCATGTCTAGTCGCGCCGGATGAAGGTCTAGGGTTAGCCAGGTCTAGTCGCGGTTAGCCATGTCTAGTCGCGCCGGATGAAGAAACTTTCGAATTGTGAATGAGTGAATATCGAGCTACAAATCATATGGCTCCATTTGTTTCTTTTGAGCCCACCAAAAATCAGGTTCAATGTTTCTTGCTTGAATAGTCATTATGAAGATCCAGTGCTGGTCAATTGGTGGGTAGAATAGTGAACGTTTGCGTTTGTTTTCGATCAAGAATCCTAGGGGTTTAAAAACGAAAACTATGCCTAAAAATCTCGATCTTGACAAGATATCAATACAAACAATAGCTTTTCACAATTTTAAGACCCGGAACCACAATTTAAAGACCCAGAAACGAAACGAAAAAGCTTGTTTAGATGGCGTGGTCCACAACACAATCAATCGGATGTGCGTATGTTCTATGTGGTAATTTCTCGGGACGGAGAATCGTTGTTTGTCAATACTATCCACCGTTAGTTTGAGATTTGTCTGTCAATACTTCACTGTGTACAGTTCGGTGCGTTCTTTGGAGATTTAATGGCTCGGGAGTAGCCAAATCCTAGCTGCCCTACGAGCAATTCCTCAGCAGATCGCATCCGAAAAGTGGCTTCTAAACCAGCGACCGCTTGCTCTTTGAAAGTCTAACAATAAAATTAACAAGAACAATATTGGAGCTTCTCCAGAGTTCAATCGGGGATGAGATTTGCTGAGAGAAACCGAAAACATTTATAAGGTTTATCGTAAATGGCAAAAGGGCACGCTATGTGATACAAGAAATTCAAAAGCATTGCGAAAGCATCGCGAAAGCATCGCAAAGCATACGAGGAGGTACTCGACTCTGGAAAATTAGAACCAAGAAGAAACAGAGGGTCACGAAAAGACTCTGGAAAAACCCAAATTTTTTTGCCAAGTTGGAGAGAAATGCGACAGAATCAAGTACAAAATAGAAATGGGCAAGGGCAAAAAATAGAATTTACTCTTTAGCGGCCAAAAGAAATGATCCATTTTTTGGGGGACTATTTTAACTCTGTACTGCACTTTTCATTTCAGTGGCAATATTGTTGGGCAGAGGATCTACAACCAAGGTGTCACTTGTTCGAAGTGTCCAACTGAATCGTCGTGCTTACAGGCCAGCGGTCTATGTGGTAAACTGACTGAAGCAAGACTAAGCTACTAAATACTGCAATAGTACCCGCCTATAGGAGTGTCGCGTAGTCCAACTTTACTCTCAAATGAACGTTCATATCTCAGCACCAATACGTTTGTTTTTGCGCTCCTGGATATCAAATTAAAGTAGAAAGGATGGGTGATTTGCTTGAGATATAAGAAATATGTTTTAGCATTAACCAGGGCTTAGAGAACAATGATGAAAAATCGGCTTATTGGCCACTTTTTTTAGCGTACTGGTGTCGAGAGCCGAGCGTTGGTTTGCGAGTAAATTTACAAGTGAATTTAGTCTACGCAACGCTCCCATAGACAGGTGCAGTATTGCAGTATTTACGATATTCATCTACGGTGTGTGGTTGAGGCTAAAGTCTTCAACTACGTCTGTGGAGCTATGCTAACTCTTAACTTTTAACAGTTACTCCAACCTCAGTCGTTTTCCCAGCCGCTGTTCAAAGTTCAATTATATCGGTTTGATATTGGTGCCGTTCGGTTAACTCCTTTTTAGACGATCAATGACTTTCGCTCAAATGTGGCCCTTGGCAAAGAAAAGTGGACGAATTATACTTGGGACTATGAATATGAGCACAATGTTCGTTGATGATTACTAACCTTGAAATGAAATTTAAGCCGGGCACCCCACCAGACACAAAAACGTGGCCAAAATCATTGAGAATGTGCCAGATAGTGGGTTTGGTTATAGCATTTACTTTTATATTTTCAGGCTTCTTCCAAATGGCGTCATAGGCCCGGAAGCACGTTTTAGATGACATTATCTGCTTTCTAAAGTGTGGATACAGTGACTTTATAGCGTCAAGAAAGCATATAATGTCTTCTAAAGCATGCTCCCGGACCCATGACGTCATTTGGAACAAGCCTGCTCATTTTCACCGCTGAGATTATCTCCACCTTAGAGATGGAGTCCCAAATATGCGACCGCGGCAGCGGCTCGGTTGGACGCTTGGACAAATGTCGGCTGGGGAACGCAACTCCCGCCAAATCCTTATAATTTGGTCGACCTCGGGCACGGGATTTACCCGTTGAAGAGAACAGATACCCCATCAACACCACAGCAAATGTGTATGTGAATGTAGCTTCTAAAAAAGGGATCTTTACGGTTAACGGCGGGCGGGAGCGATCCTCGGTGCGGGCCGATCTTTTGACCAACTTGCAGCCCGACTTTAGATGGGTTTTTGTCAATGACTTTTGATGAAATAAATAGTTTCTGAAAGTTTACGTTCTAAGCTATCTAAATCTTAGTAAAACTTCCTGATCTGACCAGTTTAAGGTGCTTCATAAAGCCGAAAGTTGGTCAAAAAAAAGTTGGTCTCCGGCGATAATCGTTCACTCGCCGTTAACCGTGAAGATACCAAAAAAAGAAAGAAAAAAAAAACAACTGTCTAGTGAAAACTCATTCTAATTGACAATAGACATTTACCTTGTAATCGTCAATAGGTGTACAATGGAAAATCGCCATATCTCAGTCAATTTCAATCGCATTTTTTTGTTTGTTTTGAATCTATTCGACCGAAAATTTTCTATCGAAAAGATCCGATTGAAATTGACCCAGATATTGCAATTTTCCGTCATCTACCTATTGACGATCAGGCAGAAAATGCACATTTTTAGTTGACAAAGCTTGGAACGAGTCTTGGTATGGTTACTGGTCGGTGTACGGTACTTTATCCTGGCAGTGGAATGGATTTACGGATGTAAACAACGCTAGCTGGACCTATCAAAATTATGCGTACGCAGTAAGTACAAAAAGGTTATTTATTGGGCACGAGCTTTAAAGGTCATGTCTGGAAACGCGCAGCTCATTGGATGTGCTTACCGAAAGATGCCTGGCCAATACGCAGCGCTTTGTCAGATCTTTCCGGCTTGCTGCAAGTGGATTTCATTTTATTTTCATTTTATTCTCATTTTTCATGAAAATGTTTTCCAGCCCCAACTTGCCTAATTCAACTTATACCCCATATCTTGCGGGCGGAGAGGATTCAGTGGTCGGAAAGAATTGCGCAGCAGATGGACCGCCTGATCCTATCACCGGTCTTTGTACTCATTGTCTTTGAGGCTTCGATCAAATGTACGATTGAAATCTTGTTTACCAGAATTTTCTCAATAAACTAATTAAATTATGCTTATCATTAGAGCAAACACGCAAAGAATACAAAAAAAAGAAAACCGAAAACAAACTTTACAAATTGATAATCAATTTCACCTATGAAGTTGATAAACATAAACTAAGTAACAAAAATGCCAGTACGACATTGCCAGTACGACATCAATTTTTTTGTCAGTTTTATGAAGAGCTGAGTGCTGGACAGGGTGACCAAAGATTATAGTAGCATTTGGCCCAACAAAAATGTGTGGTTTGGCATTTTTAGAAAAATACAGGGCAACAAATTTTCACCTTTACTTTGACCTTTCCAAGCTAATATATCGAATTTGGCATCATTTCCTTGATTGTAGATTGTATGTGTAGATTGTGCAATAAAAAAATTAATTAAATATTTCTCCAGTCTCGATATTTTTTTACATATTACCCTAAAGTCGCGAGTATAAGTTCTGTTTGGTTTTCGCATGCGAATTGACGGCTGTCTCCGGTGCGGTGTGTCGAGGGTTCGAACCCCGCTGCAGCATAACTTTTTTGCTTTTTAAGGACAATAATAGAAGTAAATTTATTGAGGGTTATAGCAATTTTATGCTGTTATTTGTTGCTCCGGGCGTGGCTCGGCGCGGCCGCCCTGCTCCTCTTCGGTGCTCAGTCTTATGGATCCCTCCCTGCCCTCATCATCCGGCCAAAGTCCACGTCGACGGTCGAAAGAGATGCTTTCCAGCGTCTTCTTCAACACTATCATCTGGATGTATCCATGCACATAACAAATAGCAATGGTGATAGGCTGTCACCCTGTAGTATCCCGCGCTCCAAGAACAATAATAAAAGTTTATATAACAATAAAAATGTATAAAAACCCAACAAAAAGAAATTCAAAGCAATTAAAGCGAATGTAAATTAAGGTAGAACTTGGATGAACTTATACTCGGATGAACTTATACTCGAGACTTTAGGGTACTCGATTTTGAAATGAGTACATTATTTACATATAAGAGTTTAAGGAAATATTATTCTAATATAAATGTATGGATGTAAAGGAAATATAAAGAAAAAAACAAAGTGCAAAAATGACATGGACATCATTTTTGGTTGCGCAACTTGTTGCATTCTAGAAATTTACAGAACCGAAGCTTTTCTAAATCTGTCAAAAGTCTGTTTTAGAGGATAAATAGATTTTTTTTATTTGTAAAAATTATAGATTAATTGGTGCACTAGTTACTTCTAAAAGTGCAATGAATCACTGTACCAACTTTCAAGTTGCCAAGCTGATAGTTTAACCCATTCGAAACCGCAGCGTTTTTTCTTTTTTTTCTTTTTCGTCTACGGACCAAGCCCTTTTTTGACATTTTTGACTCCGAAGCAGTTTATTTATGATTGGAAAGATGTAAGAGAGTCTCCTACACCATTTATTTTGGTCAGTTCAAAGCTTAAAATTTTACCATCAATTTCACACCCAAATCGAGTTTTGCAAAGTTTTTCGGAGAAAAGTCCATAAAGAGTCAAAGTAATTGATCCGATCGAAAACAAAAATGATGATAAGTCGGGCAATGCATTCAATGATTGCCAAGAGAACGAGGTTTCCATCAGTTTTCGGTGTAATATCTTTCTTGCTAAAGCTAGGAAATAATTTTATATTAGGGTGTAACATAAATAACCGGACTTTTTGGAAAAAAGTGAATTTTAAAAATGATGGCTGAACCAAATGAGATCCAGTTTGTATCATTCGAAAAATATTGGGTTGATGCATAATTAACAACCGCCGCTTCTCTGACTAGTCAAGTTCGGGATTAGGTTTCTCGAGAACCACTCAAACGATTTTTATCTTCTTTTTTTTTATTTCAAAACTAGATACATTAAAATATTTTTAAGCTAAAGAAGATTTCTGAAAATTGCCGAAACTTTTCTTATGAGAGCTTGAGAAAAAATTTTAGAAACGGTCAGAAATTTGGCGCAGAATTAGATAAAGTTTATAAAATTGGGATTTCTACATTCACATTTACAATTACAGCTGTTCTAGCAGGTTCAGCTCGAAATGTTCAGCTTAATCAAAGCTTGAATTGAGAATGACATCTTGCTGATGGTGCTACATAAAATTGTTGAACTTTTGTCTAACTCAAGGATAAAGTACTCTACAAATTTAGTCTGTACAAATTTAGTCTGTACAATTTTATCTGTACAATTTTATCTGTACAATTTTATCTGTACAATTTTATCTGTACAATTTTATCTGTACAATTTTATCTGTACAATTTTATCTGTACAATTTTATCTGTACAATTTTAGACTCGTCTCTCGAATAAAGCTGTCTCCATTGCTTACCCATTTCTCTACATGACTGGGCCGGTGACTTTATGGGCGATGACAATGCTGTATTTTGAGGATATCAATGGAACAACTAATTCATATGTAAGAAAAATGAGTATCAGAAGTATTAGTATACTTCCAATAGAGTATTAGTATAAAATATTGCTTGAATAGGTGAAAACTGACCCAAATTTGGCGCCTCTACTTGCAAAAGATGCACCACAAGCCTACATTTACTCGATGGAGAGACCGTATTTGTGGGTGAGTTGTGGAGAATGATGACTGTAATTTGTAATTTGATTATTTGAAAATTTTAGATTTTGCTATTGAAAATGGCGCTCGATGCCTGGTCGGGGATCATTTTCTTCTCTTTGACATTGATCAATGCTTCTGTTCGATCAATCACCGGTTTTTTGTGAATCAAAGAATTCACATCCACAAGTGACAATTAAACAGAGCTGCCTATTTTTATTACCTCAGCTGAATATTTTTTTTTTTTGCCAATCCCCATTTTTGACGACTAATCGACGATGACAGCCTGGGATTGGCATGCTTTTGGAAATCCCTCACTCCCGTCGTGGAAGATGATTCTCACTTGTGTTGTGGAAAGGGAAAATCGAAGGTGCATATTATAGCTGACATGTTATTGTGATCTCTCTGTGACATCGCTGGAACAAAGCGAGGACGATATTTCCACCCACAATGATCTTCCGACGAATGCCGAAGTGGTGCTGGAGGTATGGACCGGAAAACTCGATCGGATGGCTGCCCAAAGCCAGCCGAGCGACAAGGGTCCGCTTTTCTTCAACAGACAAGTGCTTTTCGGGAACACGGTGCGCACGATGATCAATGCAGCTGGTTACTAGAATTTAAATGGACCCTTCAAATATTGTCAGAGTTTGTTGCATTTTTACGTTTTTAATTACCTTTTCTTTAGCATTCAAGCATCCATCAATGCAAACAGGGAAAAACAGCTGACTTTTGTTGAGCCAAAAGATATCGTCAGGTAAATCTTGTTGCTTTCAATTCAAAAGAATTCTTAGGTACACGGGAAAGAAGCTTCGTCGAGACATGTTTCATAAGAGTACAATCTCGGATGGCACAATGAAAGGAAGAAAAAAGTGACTTCAAAATGAATCTGCAACAAATTACTACTTGTTTCGTTTGTTTATTCGCATCATTGTGATCATGCAAATTGTTTTGAACTTATTTGCTTTAATAAATTTGCTTATCTCGGAGTGGTTTCGCTGCCTTCTTAAATTTGTATTAACTCAAAGAAACCCGTCAAAAGATTTTAAAGTTTTGTCTTGGGTCGTTCAACAAGTGCACTTCACTTGGTTGTGCAGCTACATACCAACCGGGTTAAATCTGTTTTAATATACAGGGTCTCCGAAAAAAGTGGCCGGTTGAGTCCGAATTTTCCCGTTGTTTTTCGGCCATCGTGGGCGAAACGGTTTGCCCGGCACCCGTTTTGTTTTCGCTTTTGGTTCGCCAAGCCCTCCTGAAACAATTGGATTTCGTGTGGGATTCAAGTGTTTTCCATCAACATGCATTGCTTCAATTCTACCCGCACATAACCCAAATTTTTATTAAATAACAACGGTGAATTTAACGAAAAACCGAGCTGTGCTCAAAAATGAAAGATCCGTAAAGAATGAAAGGTGCAAAATTACAAAATAACAAAGGTAAAGGTTGCTTAAATGGGTTTGAAAGGTTGAAGAATTAATCGGGACGGATTTGGAAAAAACAAGGTAAAACAATATTCACAGGTATTAGTTCAATAGCAGCGTTTTTATTAATCGATCTCACGGCCCTAAAATATTATACTAGTATTAGTTCAAAAATAATAAGAAGACCTTTTTGATGTCGCGCATAAACTGCCGATGCTCTTCCTCGCTGCGCTTCAAATTTAGCATCATTTTGTTGGCGGGACAATACCTCAAAGTTCTATATTAAATAGGTAAAACTTCTCTTACATGTCTGTGTGATTAAATATTCCAACAGCTCCACATCGACGACAGGGTGACATTGAAGCCAACTTGGGGCAATTCTTCTTCGTGTGACCGTAGTAGTAACGCTGACCCGATGATCGACAATAGCTACATACCTCCTGAACTCGATACAAGCCTAATAAATGTATAAGATTTAAGTACCACGGGACCATTGAACTTTGGCGCTCCATTTTGATTTTGAAAAGGGTCAGTTATTGGTGGATGAGGCTAAAACAAGTGATTTTACAACAATTTACTTAAAAATCTAGTCTATTAAAATTCGACCTGACGAAAGACTGGTGAAAAAGCAATAGTTGGAATCCTTGGTCCTCGAACTGGCATTTGCATCAAACTTGGAAGAATTGAGAGCGGTCTGACTTTTCGCACCGGCACATTTTGTGGTCTCTAAATGAGAAATAAATAAAAAAAATGGTAAGCAATAAAATAAATTTCTTGTGATTAAGCGAATAATCCCACCGTCTCGTCGATATGACATGTCTGAAAGATAGGCCTTGGAGTCACTCGCATTGGAATCCTTGAGGTTGCTTGCATTGGAGTCCTTGAAGTTGTAGTGGCTTGCATTGGAGTCCTTGGAAAAGCGTCTTCGAATGGCGGAGCAACGATCTAATCAGACATTAGCCTAATTTCCATGCAGTAAACAAATACCATAGCAGCGGGTCGTTGAGAATGGCCATTTATACCAGTAATTGGTTGTCTCTGAATGGTCAGCTTAAATAATGATTGTTAATAATGAACTAATATAACAAACCAAATCGTCAAGCATCTGAGCACTGGCCTCCACGGCACCTTCACTACAACTCTGTGATCTTCGCTATAAATTAAAGAATGTAACTTCGAGTCCTGCAAAAAAATACCGAATTTTGACGCACACGCAAGCTCTCCATGAAATTGCCGTTTGATCCCTTAAAAAGACATATTAGTAAAAGAAAAAAGTATAAGCACTACCTGTAAGTTAGCCATTTGATTAGTGACAAAATCGCACTGGTTAGACTCGCTCTCGTTTCCCGGTAGACTGAAAAGCTTTAGGATAAAGTTTGCTTTTAAGACAAGACAACCTTTGAAGGGGTGGATCCATCCCTGGTTATTATTTGTTAGATTCACTAAAATATAGATTTAAACTAACGCAGTAAAGAATGAAAAGTAAAAACGTGTTACTGGCACAAACGTAACTAAAAATGACCGAGTTGCACAATTTTATATGGCCAATCTCAAATATTTTAGCATTCGCAGTTGTTTGCTTGAATATCTTTTCACCAGTAAATTCTTGAGGCCCTCTCATTTTTCGATCAAATTACCGTGTGTAACATTTCAAAGTTTGAAAAACACCATACACTCATCAAAAAGTATCATTTAAAAGTTTCCGACTTTGAGCGAAGTTTTTTTATGATTGAAGCAGAACCACGATTGTTACAATTTATTAAGTTAACACCAAAAACGGTGATAATTACAAAAAAAATCAGCTAAACAGTCTAGTCGGTAAATTCTCAGAAAAGCGAGAGGTAAATCCAATGTCACAACAGGAAAAAATACTTTGGCTAGGCTTTGACAACATATACACAATTTTCGGGTTCTTTGATGATTGTGTCAAGGTCAAGTTGGTGGAGCGTATAAAATGAAAACTTTTAAAATCCAACTGAAGGAAATACCTGAACCAAATTTAGGTGTTACAGAGCAAATCCAAAAGCACAACACTATTGTTTCGATACGATTTTCTCGAGTTTTCCACAAAGTTCTTCCATATGTGACTAAATAGAAAGTGAGTGAGGAATGCGAAAACACACCAGTAAATAAGTGCTCTTAAAACCCTCGTTGTCCCGAATAGGTGGAGTATGCGCACGATGAGCTGCATGTTGGTCGCAAGAAATCTAAACTAGCTGCATAGATCAAAGTTTATAGTTAACCAAAATCAAATATTCAACTTTCCTTTTGCTATAACAAATTAAACTACAAACCGGTGCTTGTTCGGCGAGATGATTGATGAAAATTGAGTCCGAATGAAGCGCAGGAAGAAGAACAAACTCACCCGCATAGCTGAAGTCGAAATTTTTCTCCATTGAAATCACTTCTCGAGTCACCGCAAGGTTAGGATAGATCTAAACCACAATACTACTTGATTTCAATAAAGCCAACCGTGTAAAGCACATTTTGTTTCGAATGGCCGTAAGTCGCCGTGTCTACAAACCATTTTTGAGGTAGGGGTTGAGCAATCCCTAAAAAAATGCTTAATCGTTGACAAACATGTCAAAAAAAAAAACAGAACCTGGTATACGAAGAGCAGCAGGATGCGGCACTGGGATGGAGTGGCACTTTGAATTCCATCCACGTCTCCTGTGCACTAGCATCGTTTTCTGAACTAAAAATAAATATGTAATACGGAAAAATGTAAAAAGTGATGTGCCGTCGTCACGTTTTTCTTTTTACGGCATCAACACTGGGTACGATAGCTGGCGCACAGTAGTGCACTTTAGAAAACAATCGTGGCGTAACCAGCGAAGCTGATCAAAAAAAAACGAAACTAATAAAGAAAACAAAACTAATCAAAGAAAAAAAACGAACCTCTTCGTGTCGTAGAAGACTCAAATAAAATTTTTGATTTTCCTGTCTTTTTCTCTGGGAGTAGGCCGTATGTAAATTTATGTTCGTATGCAAATGCATCAATGATGACTGAATGGCTTTTACAAGCCTGTCTATTAACTTGTTTTACCGTAATCCGAAATAATGAACGATCTATGATGTAGCTGACATGGATCATTTCATCATTTCTCGCGAACTGATGAATGATGAAGTCGTAGTCTTGCTAAAACTGGAGGCAAAGTCCATGTCGATTTCTCAAGATTTCTAAAAATAAACGACGCACACTTTTATACAAAAAAAAAACGAGAAAAACGAGAAAAACGAAGGAAAATCGCGAAAAGCGGCGGAAAGGCTATTGATCTGAGGGTCGCTGGTTCGACTTCCACCGGTGACAATATTTTTCAAAATTTTTTTGCTAAGATTCTGAAAATGCGTGTCTAGGGGTTATTTTTGACGCCGATCACGAAACACATGTTTTTAGCCTAGGTTTCTGCACGGAAAACTAACGAAACGTGAAAACAGCCATTTTTTGGCTCTGCCGCCCTTTACTAAAATAGCTGTAAAAACTTTTAGAAAAGAGATATCTCAAAACGGTTTTTACCAATCGATCCGTCTTGAATTCAGCTTTAGGATGAGCTATAAAACGTCAAAATTCGACAAATTTAAGGTACTCTCCCAAAAAATCGGGAAGGACTTTTCCATCAACCCAATATGATGTAGCTGACATGGATGATTTCATCATTTCTTGCTAACTCTTGCTAAAACTGGAGGCAAAGTCCATGTCGATTTCTCAAGATTTCTGAAAATAAACGACGCACACTCTTCTTAGACTTTGACCGGACTTGGGATGGTTGGTTGACCGGAAATCTCTTGCTTGCATTCATCCATTCTTTGCCCATTGCACTTTACCCTCTTACTCATTGCTCTGTTTGTTTCCCTTCTTGCAAATCATTGATTTATTGTCCTTTCGGGATTTTCTATCCATTTTTTTCTTTTCTTTTCTTTCCAGCTGTTTGTGTTCTTGTTTTTTTTGCATCCTTTTGACGCCCGTAAAATCTTATCTCTTTTCTCGTTTCCTTGACGGTTGGACAAGGTCTGAAGTTTCCTTGCATTTTTGCCAATTGAACGCTACAGAGAGGAGGCAAGTTTGGTGATACGAAAAGAGATCTGAGAATTAGCTACAAAACAAATTGCAGAGTTGCAAATAACAACAAAAACAATTTACCGTTTACTCGTCTATCATTAGTTAATCTAGCAAATACGGTTAATAATTGCAAAAGAAAAAAAAATAGGTCTAATGGGAGTGGGACAAATGGACAAAAGCGTGTGGAACCAATTTGAAAGACAAAAAGGCTAGGTCAAATTACAGAAAATTGTTGATTTTTCTCTTTGTATAACTCCGTCCGTTCGCTTCTACAAGCTCTGATATGTCAAAATTTCGATTCTACGCCCTAAAATTACCTAGAAAAACAACATTTGGAATAGAAATTGGTTAATAGTAGCTTTTTAGAGCTTTTTAAAACGCGAAAAAAGGTGCGCTAATGGGCTAAATGCGGAAAAAAAGGTGCGCAAATGTGCGGGTGCGCAAAAAAGGTCGCATTTGTCCCACTCCGAGTCTAATCCAAAAGAGTCTTCTGCATAAATGAATATCTTAAGACTCATCCAAATTTTAAATATGCAACTACTTTAGACTTCAGTAAGTTCGATTTATTCAAACTTGACCTCATTGTCAGTTAACTTCAACTACATTAAAGCTTAAATTCAGTGACCAAAGTCAACCGCCAAAGTCATTTCCCCATCGATGTGTCTTCTGTTTCACAATTCCAGAATCTAGCTACACTCCGTGGTCAAAGCCACATCTCAGCACTCCATCGATTCCCCATCGATGTGTCTTCTGTTTCACAATTCCAGAACCTAGCTACACTCCGTGATCAAAGCGACATTTCAGCACCCCATCTTTGAACCTTGTACGCAAATTTTTTCGCAGTTTTTATGGGCAGTTGAGTGGAAAAAAAAGAACTGTGCTTTTGATGGAAGAAATGAAGAAAGACAGCGAAAAGAAAGATGGTGGTGTGATCGGGCGATCGGCAAAGAGGGTGACTACGCTTTGTAGTCAGTCCCCTTCCCCCATTCCCACTTTTCCCATTTCTCTCACTCTTTTCCCCCTCCATCAACCCTCGTCGAAGATAAAAGGACCCAAATGACCCCCAGAATCTCGGAGAGCTTGTCTTACAGATTTCTTTGGAAAAATTTTGCTTTGTAAATAATCACAAAGTCCATTTGTGATTGGCTTTTCTTTGTCTGAAATGAATTTTCTTTAATTTTATACATTTATCGAACTTTATGCCTATTAGCAAACAGTTTTCACTTCTAAAATTCGAATCTAAAGAATTTTGCACTTTAGAAAACACAAAACTGTTTATTAACAATGAGTAAAATGAGTAAAATGAGTAAAAGAGTAACTCCGGTGTCTATTAAGTAAGACATTTTCTTACAGTATCCCTTATTGACTGAATATCTTTGATTGTAAGCTTTTATAGTACTTTAGCGTTTAATGTACCCCTTATTAACTGAATATCTTTGATTGTAAGCTTTTATTGTACTTTAGCGTTTAATGTGCCTCTTATTAATTGAATATCCTTGATTGTAAGCTTTTATAGTACTTTAGCGTTTAATGTACCTCTTATTAACTGAATACCTTTGATTCTAAGCTTTTATTGTACTTTAGCCTTTAATACACCTCTTATTAACTGAATATCTTTAGATTTAACGTCTATAAGTCCTTAAGTTCTTTCGATAACTCTTTGACTTTCTAACTTTTCACTGAATCAATTTCTGTGTACATTTAAACAAAAAAAGTGCCCTTTCATTGCACCAAAAAAAAAACTTTCATTTTAAGTGCATTCTTTTGATGAAATCTCTTTTGATGACATCAAAACATGCCTTTTTGAAAAGATTTTTGAGTTATTTTTGGCAAAACAATTTCCCCGCAAATATTCTTCATTTCAAAATCGAAATTTTAAAAAAACTGCCTTTAAAAAATGAAATTTCCTTGAAAATCTCGAATTTCACTTCGTTATCATCCCTTTTGGGATCTCTCCGATCAATTGATCCGATTGATCCGAGAGATCAATTGATCCGATTGATCCGAGATTGATCAGCTTAAAATTTAAGGCCAACAAGATCGAAGTTCGGGCTTTTTTTCGGTTTCTTTGCAATTTGCAATTTTTCTATCAGATAACTGATTTGTGTGTCTCTAGGATGGCTCTCATTCCATTTTCCCCCCCTCCCCACTTTTTTGGGCGATGTCTCTTCTGTTCTTTTATAGCTTTTCTCTCGCCACCATCAAATCACGCCACCGCTGACCCCCCTCCTTCCCCTCTTTCAACCGATCCAATCCTCATTCTATCACCCTATTTCAGCAAAAGTCTTCCTTGTTTTAAAAACCTAGCTATAGATAAGGTATCTACAGAAGACGAGATGTACTGTAGCTTTTAAGCTCTTTTGATTTCATGCTTTGTACATACAGTAAACTTCTAGCCTCATTTCGCTTCTAGCCACTAAGCCTTCTAGCCTTCTAGCCACTAAGCCTTCTAGCCACTAAGCCTTCTAGCCTTCTAGTCACTAAGCCTTCTAGCCTTCTAGCCACTAAGCCTTCTAGCCACTAAGCCTTCTAGCCTTCTAGCCACTAAGCCTTCTAGCCACTAAGCCTTCTAGCCACTAAGCCTTCTAGCCTTCTAGTCACTAAGCCTTCTAGCCTTCTAGCTACTAAGCCTCCTAGCCTTCTAGCTACTAAGCCTTCTAGCCTCATATCTCACTAAAGTTTCCCAGAATAAGGTTAAACCCAGAAAGGTTTAAAGTCTTACGTCAAAGTCAAGATACGGTATTTCGAATTTCAACTAAAGCAAAAGATATTCAGTCATTCATTCCTTAGGCTAGACATATATTCTGACATACTGTAGAGAGCCAAGATGTTTTTTTTTGTAAAATTGCAGTATCTTTACATTTTGATAGCTTTTTACTGTACTTTACACTACAAATGACTTTTTTTTGCCCCTATCTCGCCTTTTTCTTAGGATTTGAACTCGTTAAACGATCACTGATCACTCTTCTCTTATCGCTTTGATCAGAAAACAAACATCGCAAATAAGCCTATCATTTTTTTTTTCTTTTTTTTTTTCATTTTTGTTTACTGTATCTTTTGTTTTCATTTAATTACACGAAAAACCGACTTTGATTTTAGTTTTGAGAACTTGAAAGACTCCAAGGAAATCTTAAGAATGACGGTCGTCACAAAAACCTCCGGCTCAAAGAACAAATATCAAAAGGTCGAGAGAGATCAAGCGATTAGTGTGAGTTGAATGAAGATGCATAGAAATTAAATGAAAAAGAAAGATAGACAGACAGTAATCCAGACAGATAGACAGTAATCTAGACAATACGGTATGTAAGATATGTTCACAAAAGCCATCAGAATTCTATCTACAGTACTGGACAATGAAATATGATATTTGAAAAACGATAGTCACTTTCGCGCGCCTGTAACTCCCTTGTCTTTGCGTTTAAACTATTAGTGTTCTACATTTTCTGAAAGCTCTTTTCAAGGGCTATTCAATGGCTACACAATGGTAGTATTAATATTTAGAAATACGGTAAAGACAAGGGAGTTACAGACGCGCGAAAGTGACGATCTTTTTTCAAATTGTCAAATTCAAATTGACGATCATTGTCCAGTAGTGTAGATGCATATGAAAAAGAAATTCATCTTTAAATAATAACGTTGAAATGAATTCAAAACATTATTTGAAATGAATTCAAATAATCAAATATATTTCAGGATCAATTCCTCTCAGCTGACCTCGAGGAAATGGAGAGACTTCAAGAAGAAAGCAAGAAGGTTAATTCAAGAAAAACATTCAAAGCTTTAGCTTTAATTCTATTCTAGAGTTAATTCTAGAGTTATTTTAAATCATTAAACTATTCAGATGAAATACCGAGCAGCAGTCGTTTGGCGAAACGTGATCCTCTTCATTTTTCTTCACATTGGCGCTTTTTGGGGCGTTTATCACATGTTCACCGAAGCGAAATGGGCCACCGTTGCATGGAGTAAGTTTAAAATATAGAAATAAATATATAATATCTAAAATATTGTATACTCAACTAATAGTATACTGCTTGTGAGTATTACAGTATTGTTAAGGTTACCCAGTACAGTCAGTGCTTATTTAACTGCCTATTTACTAAATAGTTAGATCTTTAGTACTTATCTAACTGTAAATTGAAAGTAAATATATCAAATTATCGAATTTCTTTCAGCTTTCGGTCTCTGGGTGTTCTCAGGAGTGGGCATTACGGCTGGCGCTCATCGTCTTTGGGCTCATCGCTCCTACAAAGCTACCCTTCCAGCTAGAATCATTCTCATGATTTGTCAAACGATGGCTTTCCAAGTAATAATTGAATTCAATAATGGATTGGAATGAAGTCTTTAAGTATACACAATTTGATGAAAGAGATTACGATAGAGAATGAAAGAGAATGAAAGAGAATGAGAGAGAATGAGAGAGAATGAGAGAGAATGAGAGAGAATGAGAGAGAATGAGAGGAATAGAGAGAATAAGGATGAAGAGATGAGAATGAGGTGTGGATGGAATGAATGGATGAGGGAATGAAAGAGAATGAAAGAGAATGAGAGAGAATGAGAGAGAATGAGAGAGAATGAGAGAGAATGAAGGAGAATGAAAGAGAATGAAAGAGAATGAAAGAGAATGAGAGAGAATGAGAGAGAATGAGAGAGAATGAAAGAGATCTCCATAATTCCCATCGAAATTTCCCTTTCCAGCTAGAATTCTTAGAAATTCTTAGAAAATCAATATATCAATCTGAAATCGATTTCTATTCCTCTTTTCAGAATGACATTATCGAGTGGGCTCGTGATCATCGTTGCCATCACAAATGGACTGATACTGATGCCGATCCACATAACACTCGACGAGGTTTGAAAATGTTATTAAACTATTAAACTATTAAACTATCAAACTATTAAAATATCAAACTATCAAAATATTAAACTATTAAACTATTAAACTATCAAACTATCAAACTATTAAACTATCAAACTATTAAAATATTAAACTATCAAAGCATTAACCTATTAAACTATTAAAGCATTAAACTATCAAACTATCAAACTATCAAACTATCAAACTATTAAACTATTAAAGTATTAAACAATTAAACTATTAAAGCATTAAACTATTAAACTATTAAAATAATAAAATATTAAAGCATTAAACTATTAAACTATTAAAGCATTAACCTATTAAACTTAAAAATTTGAAGGCTTCTTCTTCGCTCACATGGGATGGTTGTTGATGAAGAAGCATCCACAAGTGAAAGAAAATGGAGGAAAACTTGACTTAAGTGATCTCTTTGAAGATCCCGTTTGCACTTTCCAGAGAAAGTGAGTTTAAAAACTCAAAATCTTTTAAAATATAATTCGATCAAATTTTCAGATATTATCTTCCATTGGTTGCTCTTATTTGTTTCCTTTTGCCGACAGCGATTCCTGTGTTTTTGTGGGGTGAATCGGCTGCTGTCGCCTATACAACAGCCGCTGTATTCCGTTATTGTTGGACACTTCATGCCACTTGGTTTGCTTTATATCATTCAAATTTTATTATTGAAATTAAAGAATTACTATTAGAAGGCTATTAGAAAGGCTATTAGAAAGGCTATTAGAAGAATTTTCTTGATTAACAAATCCTAGGTGTGTCAACTCATTCGCTCACTATATCGGTTATAAACCGTACGATCGAACGATCACTTCAGTCGAATCGGTTTGGACAACATTGGTTGCTGTTGGTGAAGGAGGACACAACTTTCATCACACTTTCCCTCAAGTGAGTACTTGTACTGTACAAATTGTACTTCTACTGTACAAATTGTACTTGTACTGTACAAATTGTACCTGTACATGAAGTGGAGATGAATAAGTGAAGTTCTAACTAAATGATTATCAGATTTTTCTCGAAACAATGCTTATTTTCTAGGATTATCGTGCCTCAGAGTATTCAATTCAATACAATTGGACTCGAATGTTAATTGATACATTCGCCGCTTTGGGATGGGTTTATGATCGGAAAATCGTTGCTGATGAAGTGATTCAGAGACAGGTGAGTGAATGGACGAGAACTGAAAGACCAAGAAGAATACTACAGTCACAGCCAATAGGTTTACTGTAGCTTTTGGGGGGTAAAAGTTAAGCTATAGGATTACTGGAACTTGTCACTTTTATTGAATCTATTTCCAGATCGAAAAACACGGCGGTTTGAAGAGTCACGAACACTAAACTCTTCACTTTTTTCAGCCATCTCATTTCATTTTTTGTTTTCTTGCTTTTTCCTTTCTCGATTCTCATCTCGGGTATCCTATTTTCCGATTTTGCCTCATTTTGGTGTACATTCATTGTTGGTTAATGTTTTTCTTTCCTCGCTTAATGGCTTTGCATATTATCGATAAAGATTGTAGTCAGCACAATCCTGAGAAAATCCAGAGAAAAAAACTCAAGTCAGATCGAATTGTTCTCTCAATTAAGCGACTCTTTAAGTAATGCAATGGTTTAACAGGATGTGGAAATTGTAGCAAAAAAATTGGGGGCGGGAATTGGTCCCAGGGGTTTGGGCATGGTGGGGCCGAGGCCGGCCGAGCCGGATGAATCGCTCAAGGCTCCTTCCCCTTTGCGGATTACACAAGAGAGCATCTATCCATCAGGGACGTGTGCCAGATGGAGAGCGATTACGCGACCGGACAACGAACAGTCGCCAAACATTTACACACGGGATTTTCTCTTTTGCTTTGTAGATGATGCAAAAAGAGCTGTAAATTTGTACTTAAGGGTTTTCGGGGTCGGGCAACCGATTGGAGCTATTCATTCTATTAGTCGAGCAATTAGAACTCAGATTTATAATGATTAGTCTAAACTTTTAGATAAATTCGGAAACTAGAACTAGAGTCTCTACTGTTAGTACTATCTAGGACTCTTGTAGTTTTGGTGGACATTAATGCCATGAACATCCATTTCATGAACTCCATTTTGTCACATTTCAAAAGCAAACATTTTCCAAACATGGATTCAATGTGGGATTGAGAACGGCGGAGGGCCGAAGAAGGCCAGCGGAAGGCCGATGTCAATCTCTTGTATTCAAAAAGAAAAAAATGAAAGGCAAATGAGGGAAAAAGAAGGGAGAAGATGGAAGGATGGGCATTGACTCTTCCCCTCAACCCGAGAAGATGTCCCGGAGAGGTCCCCATCCCTCTTTTCCCTTCTCTTTCCCATTCCATCCCCTTCCATCCCCTTCCGAACACTCTTTTCTTTTTCCCTTTTCTCCTTTTTTATATCTTCTGAACTCTCTTTTCTTCAAAAAAATGAGTTTTTCAAAAAACGGCCCTTCCCGTCCCGATTCTCTGATGAGAACTGCCTCGAGGCATCTGAGTTCGCTCAAGTTCTTTTTTAAATAAAAATTTTTAAAAACAATATACAGTTTTGGCAAATTAATAGCTGCTTAATAGATTAATAACCGAAATTGACTTGAAATTTTAAGAGACATGTTAATGATTAGTTAGAGATTAGTTAGAGATTAGTTAGAGATTAGTTAAAGATTAGTTAAAGATTAGTTAGAGATTAGTTAGAGATTAGTTAGAGATTAGTTAGAGATTAGTTAGAGATTAGTTAGAGATTAGTTAGAGATTAGTTAATGATTACAATCTAGCTCAGAGAGAATGTTTCAAAACAAACTCGAATCAACATTTTTGTTCTTGATTCTATTTTCAAATTTTTGATTAATTTAAAGGCTTTATCTAAAAGTTTTGGCATTCTCAAGTAAGAGTACAGAGGTACAGAGGTACAGAGGCTTTTGAGAGGCTATTTTCAATTGAAAACTTGAATTTCTTCTTCAATTAGTTTTATAACTTTTTAAAGAAATTTAGAAGCGAATTTGAATGTGTTTATATTTGAAGTTTGAAAATATTTGAATGTCTAGTTCATATCGAAATCTAACATTCATTCATTCGAATTGCTCATGTTGAACTCAATCTCTTTTCATTCTCTTATCAATATCAATATCAATATCTGTTTTTTAAATCTCTAAAATATCCATTCGAACTTCTCAATTCTCTTTTTTTGTTTTCTTTTGTCTCATGTGTTCCTTTCAGTGTAATACCTTTTTTTTTGCAGCTTTTCTGCAGTTTTCCAATGAGCAAAACTCTCATGTCAAACAAGAAAATGAAATAATATTTGAAAATCATTTTATTTGATTCGATATTATATGGATTTTATTGAAAATAGCATTTGATAGCTTGCCGATTTGTTCAAACTGTTTTGTTTGATGTTCAAAGCTATTTGTTCGATGTTCAGAACGATTTGTTCGATGTTCAAAAGTGTTTTGTTCGATGTTCAAAACTTTTCCCCCTATTGATCAGTGATTCAGATAGAAAACTTGCTTTTTGTAAATGATCAAATTTTACAAAAAAAAATTAATGTACAGTACTGGACAATGAAATATGATATTTGAAAAAAGATCGTCACTTTCGCGCGTCTGTAACTCCCTTGTCTTTGAGCTTAAACTATTAGTGTTCTACATTTTCCGAAAGCTCTTTTCAAGGGCTACACAATGGTAATATTAATATTTAAAAATACGATAAAGACAAGGGAGTTACAGACGCGCGAAAGTGACGATCTTTTTTCAGAATATCATATTTCATTGTCCAGTAGTGTAGATAGAATTCTGATGGCTTTTGTGAACATATACCGTATTGTCTTACATACCGTATTGTCTAGATTACTGTCTATCTGTCTGGATTAGCTGAATCGATTTCAAATAAATCATCTATTTTTCTTTTTTTTTTCTTTTTTTCTTCAAAACCAAATGAAATTCTCATATTTTCAAGTGAATTTATGTCTCTTTAGCGGTTCGAAAAATAGAAAAAAAGGCTAAATTTCATTGAAAATCCAAAAAAAAGGCTAAATTTCATTGCAAAATCCAAAAAAAAGTCTAAATTTTGCTAAATTTTGCTAAATTTGGATAGATTTTAGATAAAAGTTGCAATCTTTTTTTCTCAAAGCAATCTTTTTTCTCAAAGCAATCATTTTCTCAACTCATCAATTATTTTTTTTGTTTGGGAGATCGATGAAAAGAAAATGGAAAAGGAGAAAATTTAAAAAATAGGGGAACGACCTTGAATCAATCGGGGGAATTGACTGTTGAAATTCATCCCATTTTGCATGTTTATCAGTTTAAAGGCGCAGATTGTTGAGTAGAGCACTTTATTTCTTTCTAAATAAAGTATTTATATATATATATATGTCGTAGCCGGTTATGAATGAAATTTTTTGGCAAATCTTTCTAGTAGAGCAACCCTTTAATGTATGAGGACAATATTATATCATCTTGTAGCGAATTAAATTCTGCGATTGTTGAGTAGTTTAAAGGCGCTGATTGTTGAGTAACTTCTCGTACTTCTCTTTTTCATTGCATAGAGTTTACATTTTGAAGGAAATTTCTATAAACTTGTTGTTGAGATTTGTGTGGTTGATTTGTTGATTTGTTGTGAAAGGTAGTAAAGGGTTTGTTGTCTGTTGTCTCTTGTCTCTTGATGAGACAAGTGTCCTTGTCTTCTCTTTACTCTCATCTTTACCTTTCCCCCCGCCTCATTCTTTCAGCAATCGCATTTAGAATCTTGCTTCTTTACCCCAGATTTCTTACTCAAATTTTGGATTTTATTTTGAAATTTCTTTAACTCTCAATAAGGTTTAGCATCAATTTTAAACACAAATTTACCTTTCTGCATTTTTTTGGCATTCTTGGTTTTTTGGCTTAGGCTTAGGCTTTAGGCTCAGGCTTAGGCTCAGGCTTAGGCTCAGGCTTAGGCTCAGGCTTAGGCTCAGGCTTAGGCTCAGGCTTAGGCTCAGGCTTAGGCTCAGGCTCAGGCTTAGGCTCAGGCTTAGGCTCAGGCTTAGGCTCAGGCTTAGGCTCAGGCTCAGGCTCAGGCTTAGGCTTTGATCAACACATTCAACATCTCAACAAGGGCCATACTAAAGCTCATTTCTTGGCATTCTTTTTATTCTCAAAAAACCTTAGCATTGTATAGTTGAGAATTGAATCTCTTATCATAGATTTGGTTTATCATAGCGCCGTCTTATCATAGATTTGGTTGAGTGCTTTAAAATGTCTTTAAAATTTTTTTCAGCTAAACTCGAGGCTTTTGGCGACTAGGCGTGGCTCTCTTATCTTTTATCTTTTATCTTTATCCAAATCTGCTTTCTCTAAATCCTCTAGAGCTTTTTTTGTAAATCGTGTGATTAAAGTTTGGAATGCCCTTCCCGACAAGTTGCGTTTGATCTCCACCGTGTCTGATTTTAAAAGGGCTACTTCGTTGCATTTTAAGTGACTTTGTCATCTTTTATCTGCTACATTTTTCATGTCGTTTTCGCACTTTATTTCTTTCTAAATAAAGTATTTATATGTTGTGTCCGATTTAGATTTTCGTCCGATTTAGATTGAACTTATCGCGGACGTCCGATTTAGATTACAGTCTATGTCGGACGTCCGATTTAGATTCAATCTAAATCGGACGGAAATCTAAATCGGACACAACATATATACAAATTCCAAACACCAAAGAGAAAAAGAAAAAGTTTTTCATTCTCAATTAGAATAAAGTAATGGCTTATGTTTAAACTTTATATGAAATCTATATCTATAATTCGTTACGGATCATTTTTACAGCAAGAACTATCACCACAGATTAAAATGTGTTCCTTGTTTTCTAAAACGTTGCAACTTTCGGAAACTATCTCCTAATCTTGCCTACTGTTTTGACCAATCAACCGATAGAGAACTTTCTACACATTTTAATATTAGACTTTATTATTAGACTTTTTTTGTACTCCTTTTATTAATCATTAGCTTTTATTAGTTATCTTCGTTATTTTCTTTTGAATTGAACTCTTTTGAAGTAAAGCTAACTTTTACAATTCACTTTTCAGTCTCTACAACAACAACAGTAATGCGATTGCTTGTTTTACTCATTTCATTGAGTTCAATATGTTTAGTAATTGGATGGAGGTAATAAATTCAAGAAATTAATTCAAATCTAGATTCAAAACTAGATTCAAATCTAGATTCAAAACTAGATTCAAAACTAGATCCAAATCCAATTTTCAGATGTTATGCGTGTAATTCGGATAGAGAAGGAACAAAGTGTTTAGATGAAAGTCTTGACAAAAATCTTTTGAAAAGTAGGTTCATGTAATATTTCATTCAGAAGGATTGAGAAAATCAATCATTAAAAAAACAATATCTTTAAATAACCAAAGATCTATACTTATCCCAATTGAATCCCGTACATAAATCCAGTTTTTTTTGCAGTGTACATACCGTAATACCTATAATAGTAGCGAGCACTCCGTACAGTCGCGTAGTCGCAAAAAATTATTACTAAATCATTTTTTTCTAAGCGCCCATGATTTCTAAAAATACATGTCTAGTATCAAAAAATAGCCCAGAATTCCAGCTTTCATTTGATATTTAAGCGCACACTGTAGCATAAACAGGTGGCGAGAAAAATGCGTCCAAAGCTAGACTACGCAACGCTCCGCCCCGTCATTATGGGGGTGGCTACTATTACAGGTATTACGGTAAGATTTTCTAGAGTGTCCCACAAAAATGATCGATGGAACAGTGCATCAACCAATCGGATGTCGAAAAACGGAACAATATGTTGGAAGTGAGCTGGTTACGGTAGAACTAAGCATATAGGTTTACTGTAGAACTAATTAGCTTATAAGGTTAAAACCTGTGATCCGAACTGCCACAATAAACGTTTTTAGGTCAATTCACGATGATTCGAGAGTGTGCCTACACGGGTAGCGATGTACGAAACAAGAATAACAAAGTAGGGAAACAAAGTCAAGGGAAACAATCAATGCAAATCAATCTAGGGCTCAACCGGTGTCTCGAGATGGACAAATCAGTGCTCGGATGAGCACGGATGCAATGGTGAGTGAGAGGAAATCTTGGATTATCAAAACTTTGGAAAAGTTGAATGCTAAGTCTTTAGAACAATTGGATATCATTGTCAATCTTTGAAGCTGAATAGAACTTGATAAACTTGTAAGATTTGAGAGCTGGGTATTCAAAAGAGAATGAGTATCCTTGGTGGGTATTATCAAGAGTCTAAGAAAGCAGGGTCATTTGCGCAACTCGCCATAACTTTCTTCTAAGTGGGCCAATCTTTATAATTTTGGTTTCATTTTGTTGCACTTATTGAGATCTACAAAATGAAACCAAAAATCATAAAGATTGGCCCACTTAGAAGAAAGTTATGGCGAGTTGCGCAAAAAAAATTGCTGAAATTAGCCTACCTCAAAAGGTGACTCTACGGTGGATTGCTGTAGAAAGGGAGGCAATTTACTGTTTAATTGGGAGTGGGACAAATGCTACAATTTTTGCGCTACGGACATTTGCGCACCTTTTTTTCCGCACCTTGCCCATTAGCGCACCTTTTTTCGCGTTTTAAAAAAGCTCTAAAAAGCTAATATTAACCAATTTCTATTCCAAAAGTTGTTTTTCTAGGTAATTTTCGGGCGTAGAATCGAAATTTTGACATATCAGAGCTTGTGGAAGCGAATGGACGGAGTTATACAAAGAGAAAGATCGACAATTTTCTGTAATTTGATCTAGCCGTTTTGTCTTTCAAATTGCTTCCACACGCTCTGTTATGTCAAAATTTGAATTCGACACTCTCAAATTACCTAGAAAAACAAATTTTGGAATAGAAATTGGTTAATATTAGTTTTTAGAGCTTTTTTAAAACGCGAAAGAAGGTGCGCTAATGGGCTAAGTGCGGAAAAAAGGTGCGCAAATGTCCGGGTGCGCAAAAAAACGGTCGCATTTGTCCCACTCCCGTTTAATTTGTAAATTTCTACAATCACAGCCTGACTTCTGAACAAGGAATGATCCAAATTACAATACTCATCCCATTTGCAGGCATTTCCCCGATTTCTCCCCTTCTCACGATAATCGCCTCGTTCATGTGCGCCATTTTGCTGCTCAAATAAATTTGAGTGCTCATTTTATCTCATTTAATTGATATTTGTTACAGGTTTATCTCTTTTTTTTTATTTTAACACATAGAATTGTGATTGATAGTGGCTTTTTTTAGCTTAAAAACTTGAAAAATCGCTGTTAATCCCTTTTAGTCTTTTTCTTTTGTCTGAGAACTGAGCTCTTGAGCCAAATTTTTGCTCATTTCTTGAATGCTATGTCATTATTGAATTGATTTATAATAAAAGATGAATATTTAGAAGAATGCAAATAAAACACAGCAATTCTACTAGAATTGAGAAAAATTTGAATAGAGTAAAAGTTGCATTTAAGCGCTTAATAAAACGGAGCTTAAACAGGACAAAAAAATCATTTCTGATTTCTTTTGTCTTCTTATTCTTTTGCCGGAGAGATGTCTTCGAGTGATGAGAAGCAGCTCGTCACGCTGCATTGGACCGATCTCTACGTCGAAACGACTCGCAAACGAAAATTACTCAATGGAGTGTCGGGTAAGCGCTTTTAGATATCGTTATTCATATATTGAAAGGCTTTTAAAACTAAAACACATATCTTCAACGAACGGGTTGAAGATAAAGGTTCGGCTTTGTTATTAACATTCTCAACCTTTCTCTATAATTTTTTTTATCACTTTATGATTAAAAATACAAGCTTATAGCTTAGTGATGTAGATTTGGTGTTATCCTGATGATTCAATCTTTTGTTATCATATTATCAATTTCTTTTTAGGTGTAGTGAATCCAGGTGAACTATGTGCACTGATGGGAGCAAGGTATATCCGTTTTAATCAAACTCGTTTATTTTTATTTAGTGGTGCCGGAAAGACGACCCTTCTCAACACGCTTTTACGCCGCAACACGAACGGGTTGAAGATAAAGGTTCGGCTTTGTTATTAACATAGTCATTTTGCTTGCTTAGGGTGACGTGTACGCGAACGGACAAGAAGTGAAACGATCAATCACAGGAATCAGTGGCTACGTTCAACAGGAGGATCTCTTTCTTGGATCGTTGACGGTACTACTTTGTTTTCTTGTAATTAACCAAAGCATTGTCCTAGGTGGAAGAACATCTGAATGTCCAAGCCCGTATGCGACTTTCAGCCACGATGAATGCACATCAGCGAAAAGAACGAGTGAAAGAAGTAAAAAGCATAGCGTTTGAGAAATTATGAAAGGTTTAGGTGATCACGTCGATGCTTCTCGAGAATGCCCGCAAATCCCGCATTGGGACGCCAGGAATCAAGAAAGTAGGATTGAATTTAGTTCTCAATTCAATATTTTCACGTTTAGGGAATCAGCGGCGGTGAAATGAAACGTTTATCCTTTGCGACGGCGCTTCTCAAACAGCCACCACTTCTTTTCTGCGACGAGCCAACAACTGGACTTGACTCACACATGGCTCTTCTTGTTGTTAAGGTACTATCAAGTATACTTATCACTGTTAACTATATTTTTAGCAACTCGAATTACTGGCAGCTGAAGGGATGACCATCGTGTGCACAATTCATCAGCCTAACCCCGAGACTTTCGAAATCTTCGATAAAGTTTGCTTGTTTTCTGTAAACTTAACACTATTTCGTTTAGGTTGTCTTCCTTTGCGGTGGTCGAGTTGCCTACATCGGTCCCCCGCCAGAAGCCGTGCATTTCTTCGCTTCAGCCGGCCATCTCATCCCGGAGCACTCGAATCCGGCAAATTTCTTCATTCAGGTTCAAAAATGTTTTGTCTTTGTTTTAATATTTCCTTTTTCAGTGCTTGGCAGTTGATCCTGAACACCCAGAAGAATCCAAACAGCAAGGAACTGCAATTTGTGATGCTTTTGAGAGCTCCGACTACTATCACAATATTGAGATGGAGATGGAAGAAGCGGCAAAACCACGAAAGCTTTACTCGATGCCTCCCCCTTCAGTGTTCACTCTCATTTTCGCTCTTTGGAAGCGGTAATCTATTATTATTAGTGTTTGGTTGAGTATTATTTTGTTTAGCTATATCATTGACAACTACCGAAATCCATCAGTTGTGGTGTCAAAATTTGTGCAAAAGGCTTTTATGGCAATCTTTCTCGGACTACTTTATCTCGATCATTGGGAGACTCATCCAACACAAGTTTGTAAAAAAAAGCTTAGTTCATTAAAGTTTTTTGTATTTTTAGAATGGTGTGCAGAATCTGAAAGGAGCCCTCTTCTACTATATTTCCGAGCTGACCTACGCAACTCTATATGGTGAAAATAATGTCTTGTAACTTTCAAAGGAATCTTTTTTAGGCATCCAAACGTATCTACCCGGCGATTTCCCTCTCCTTGTTCGAGAGTATCACGATGGAATTTTTCCGACCCTTAGCTACTATCTGGCACGGGTTGGTTCCTGTGGTTTTTGTACATTTATGTTTTCGCTTTTAGATATTCTCTTATTTGCCGTTTTTCTCACTCGACGGAATAATTTTCATATCAATCACCTACTGGATGATCGGCTTAACTGTAAATGCTGGAACCTTCTTCCTCACGTTGCTCATCGCATTGCTCGTCGAGTTGAGCTCTGCAAGTCTTGGAGTGATGATCTGTTCGGTAAAACATTTGATTTTTAAATTAACTTTCTTTTGTTTAGATTACGCCATCTTATTCAATCGCTGTATCGATTTCGGGCCCCATTTTGACCTTGTTCTCCATCACTGGTGGAATCTTCACAAACGTGGCCGCAATGCCCGGATGGATTTCCTGGACTCAATATCTGTCTTGGTATATCTTTTGTATTAAAAGTAAAATACATTTCGCGTTTTAGGTTCCGCTATGGCTACGAGTCTTTCATCATAAACGAGTTCGGCCGCAACAACTCTCGATATGCTGAAGGAGAAATACTGTGCAGGATTGGCACGGCTAATTGGACTAAATCGATTGTGGCGCAAGATCAATGCCTCAAAACCGGAACAGAAGTAACTTTACTTTACCTAGTTGTATTTCTATATTAACTTTCTTTTTCAGGTCGTCGAATCATTGAATTTCCACGAAAAGAATTGGTACTTCAACCTCGGAATCATGCCCATCTACGTACTCGTTGTTTATTCGATTGGTTACATTGGTCTGCTGTTCCGAGTTCAACGCGCAAGATAGGCTCAACGACTGCAAAGACGACTCTAGATTCTTTATGATTTATCTCAACTGTCCATGAATTTTGGGTAAAAAGATCTTGTGCTTGTATTTATTATTATTGCCGTGCTAAATAAAGCTTTGTAAAACAAATATTTAATATCATCGTATAACTGGAAATATACACGTGGAAAGTTATAGAAGTCGCAATAGCACATGAACATAAATAATAAACACATACTTTTGAAAACCGGTGTGTGTGAGTTGGTGGACCACGGTATTATCCCTGATCGTTAGGTGCTTTCATGATGACTTAGGATGATGCGTATAGTCGTGTCCATTCTTTAGCTGTTCGCAAAGCTTCAACCTCGTTCGTCTTCCATTGCTCAGCTACATCGGTTGCAAGAGGATCCTAAACATGAAAACATGGACGATATTTCAGAGCTGCAATTCAAAAGAAATTATGCTTAGCTAAAATGCTTCTCACTTTTAATTTGTTTCTGTTAATTAATAAGAAACCTCAGGATTTGGTGCTGACAAAAGAGCCTGAATTGAGAGCAAAACCGTTCGAATTTGAAGAGCAGGCGACCACTTATCTAAACACGCAATATTCAATCGAGTTCAAATTGAAATTGAAATTGGACTTGTCACTTTTCAAGATGAACTGGGTAACAAACATTAATGTTTACCGTTTAATGGCATAATCCAATTAATTCAATAAATTAAAATAAATCTTTACCTTTCAAAATATCCAAGCAAATTCTCCCCAATTTGTCTATGTTTGGATGATAAATTTTGGTCATAAATCGCACCTAAATGTAAAAACAAATAATATTATTTGCCCATTAAAAACAACCTTTGGCGCTGCCATAGGGTATTCTTCCGGTAAAAATAGCTCAAGTTTGAAGTCACCACCAGCAAATGGAGAATCATCGGGACCCGTAATACTAACGTGAAAATACCTAAAATTTTAACATGGAAAGGAACAACTCAAACAAGCTCACCTAGCATTGTTGTCATCAGGAGTTGCAGCAATTCCGGGTACAGGATCCTGCATCAATCGCTGTGTTTCCTTGATGATACGACGAGGCAATGCGCTCGCCATTCCTCGTTTGAGATTTTCTTGTGCAGCTTCTCTAAATATAAAACTGTTGCTTGAGAAAAGACGAAAAAACAACAAGTAAAAAGATTCTAAAAGGAAAGCCAAATATTTGCAAGCTCTTGCCACAGGTTATAATTCCTTGCAAAATAAAAACTGCAAGAAATGCTGGTCAGAAGGATAGTCAAATAGCTAACGATAGATAAAAATTAATAAAATAAATTCTTTCAAGATGTAAAAAGTTTTTTCTTAAAAAGGCCTAAGGGTGCGAAAAAAGGAGAGCGTTTCTAACCTTTATTTCAAAGGATATCGATTGAGTGGACAGGGTGAAGGAGAGAGCAGAGAAAAAGAAGGGAAAACGGGAAGAGAGAGGACAAAAGCACACACGGAACAGATACTCACACTCGCACACCCATACGTAACACAAAATCCCCCTCCATCACGTCTTCTACAAGGGTCCAAATTGAACTATTCGGAAAAAAGGATTGAGTGACGAATTATAGACACTTTTTTCGACTGTGTAGTTATATAAATGACTTAGAGCAATGAAACTCAATATTTTCGAGGCAAGAAGGCAGATTTTGGTTAGAAAAGAAGTAGTGATGGCAAAATTGCAAATGATTTCTCGAGAGATTTCAAATGATTTCCACAAATGACCCCAAGTTTATATACAATTTTTCGTAGGCAAGATTTGCGAATATTCAGCCTATTAACTGAATAGTGTTGCTTTTATTTATATAAATATAAATCAAAAAATCTGTCGGATTACGATAAATTTATGTATCCAACAAATGAGAAAACTGTGCTAATGAGCTATACTTATGGGTGAGTCACTGCGCAAAGTTTCCGCTAATAGGTCTAGGAGAGAAATCGGCGCAAATAGAGTTGAGGGAAATCGGGGCGGAGAGGGAAACAGATGCCTCTTAGGTCGAATTCTGGGACAATTTCCGAATTGATTCCACACTGCACTTATAATTTCTAGAAATTACCGTTTTCTTTTTGCAAAACGCTTAATGACCGGTATTTTTTTTTGGCTAAAAGTGCTACAAAATAGCTAAAATTGCACAAATTCTACGTCCAGACGTTATTTTTGTGCTATTCTCATTTCTAAGGCAATGGTTGCATCAATTTTTTTCCTATTCGATGCTAGACCATCATTCATGTAGACTAAACAAGAAAATAAAGGCATTTTTGCTTATTTAAATCCAATTTTGTTAGATTTTTTTCTTTAGATCAGTCTACTTTTGTCTACTGACCAGTCTTTTCTCTTTTTACCCTTGAGAAATCATTTCTTGAATGCCGAGTCGCTTATCAGCTAGCCGATTTCAAAAAAGAATTCAAGAATCTCTCGCGAGGTGCTAAGAAGTTATCGGACGATTCGTGAAAAAAAATCAGTTTTAATGGACGGGGAGTTCTCAGTCCATTGGAGAGAGAAGTGTGAAAGAATGGAAAGGAAAAGAGGACCTTTGCCCCCCTCTCTCCCCACAATGAGAGACAGAGAGTCCCCTCAAGTGCCCCCTCCCTTTCTTTCTGTTCCCCCCGTCTCCCTCCGCTGGGTCCGCCTCTGTGCCTGCAAAATGGCGTGAGCTGAGCGCTGCTTTTGAACTGCGCGCGATCACCCTTTCCCATTCTCACTAACTGCCACCCACAACTCTCGGTATCAAACGATCGTTTTTTGGAGCCTCCCCTTTCCTGACTATTTATTGGTCTTGTTTTATTTATGAACATTTTCATCGGATGTTTTGTCTTGTAACTTGCTTCTTGGACTATCTAATGTTGGCTTGTCAAAGATTTCTTAATCCAAAGCATAGGATATGGCTATTACCGTTTAGAAGTCTTGCCTTTCATGTTATGTATATCAGTTTTAGAGATAACTTTTTAACTTTTTATAATAGTAAACCTTGGAAATGTATCCAATATTGCTCTCCTCTTTCTAACTTTGCTCTATCTCTTTTGAAAACTCGAAATTCCTGAAATCACGCCTCACTTCCACAAATGTTTATCTTCTTTTTCCGAATTTTGATCAGACAGATTCCCCAAAAGATAATCTTTTCAAGAAGACTCTATTTTTAGGGCAAATTTTGGGGAATCCTCCCTCCCAATCACTCGATTCGAATCAAAATGTCGACCGATGTCGGCTTCACGGATATTTTCTTCGGTGAATGGGATGTGGAAAAAACAAAAATTTACATGAGCTACTTCCTGCCACTCACATATAAGGTAAAAGAATTTCGAGGGAAATTTTACAAAAACAAATCCTCCAGATCACAATCGGCTATTTGTTGGCCATCTATTTCGGGCAGAAATTGATGAAAAATAGGAAAGAATTCAAGTTGGATAATACATTGACCGTGTGGAATTTTGTGAGTTTTTGATAAAGTGCTAAAAGCTATAGTGTTTTCAATAGCAAAGTCTAAAATTTCAGCTGTTTGCCTTATTCTCGGGCATTGCCGCCTATAAATTGACGCCCGAGTTGGCGGGAGTTTGGAAAAATCATGGATTTGTTGGTGAGTGGACAAAATTTGTTGAAAGATATCAAGATATAGTAATAACTAAGCTATAATCAATTAAAGATTGAAAGTTTTAAGAAAAACTGCAATTTCTGATATCAATGAACTTTCGGTGCGGAAAAATGCGCGAAAAGAATCACGAGTGCCGAGTTATATATAACTCCTTTTCAAGATATTCAGCTGTTTAATTGATTTGGTGGGAAATTCCCTTCAAATTAAAGATATTCAATTTATTCAACGTGTAAAGAGGATTACTCGTAGTTGCTCGACCAAAAACGTTGATTAATCGAGTAAAAATTACTCATGCGAATTTTACTCGAGTATTTACTTACTCGGAAAGAACAAACTCTAGTTTGTAAAGCTTAATGCTTAATGCATAAAGCTTAATGCTTAATGCGTAAAGCTTAATGCTTAATGCGTAAAGCTTGATATTCAAAGTTCTATCAAATAACCGATTTTCGATATCAAAGCTCTTTTTTAACTTTTATTTCTAGCTAAAGTTGTTATCAAAGAATTGCTTAACGCCTTTCACAAAGGCTAACTTATAATATGTTTATCGTAATTATTCGAAAGAGCCCAATTTCAGCAACTCGCTTAGGCTTCCTAAAAGGTGGATACTTTGGAAAACTACCGTAATTCAACCGTCAGCTTTATATTCGATCAGCCAAATTTTGACATCATTGCCTGAGCCCTGTGATTCCTCGTCGAATAACACTAAAATCGGGCTGGACAGATGAAAACTAACAGTTTGATTATGGTAGTTTTCCCACTTTCTAGAAAACGCATTGCTCGTTAGGGACCCAGCCAAGACTCAAATAACTCAACTTCTTCATTTTTAGCATCATATTGTGATAATCACGACTACTACACCGATCCGTCGACGGGTTTTTGGGGCTGGATGTTCGTGATGAGTAAATTGCCCGAATTGGGAGACACCGCTTTCCTTGTGTTGAGGTTTGAATTGATGGATTTTGAATGATAAAAAAAAATGATTTCCAGAAAACGACCAGTCATTTTCATGCATTGGGCTCATCATGCGATCACCTACGTTTACGCCATTTTAACATATAGGTTTGTTTGCTTGATTTGAGAATAATAGCTATAAACAAAAATTTTAGTGAGATGCAAGCATGGGCAAGATGGTCTCTTGTATTGAATTTGATTGTACACACCATCATGTACACGTAGGTTTTTGAGGAAATTATTTAAAAAGAAGCTTTACTTTCATTTTATTTGTCTTTTAGATATTTCGGTCTTCGTGCTATGAAGATCGAATTGCCGAGACCGTTGGCCAAATTTATCACAACCATTCAAATTGTTCAGGTTTGGGGAAAGATGATGAGTAATGAGAAAACTATTCAGATGAGAAATGAGAAAGCTATTCAGTTAAGGTTATAATTGGATAGTTTTAAGAGTTCGAAAGACTAGCTAGAGATTTTTAAAACCTATAAATCGAGAGCGATTGGTAGAACGCTTATTGGTAGATCTAGGTTAAGGATATTGATTTGATTTGTTCTCTCTTGCTTTAAAAGCTCTCTCAATTTCAGTTCGTGATCAGTTTGTGGATATTCGGACACGTGATCTTCATGAAATACTTCAACACTCGTTCATGTGCAGCCAGGTAAACGAATGAATGAAATAGAGAAAAGGAGGAATGGCACCACCCAGCTGTAGACATCACAGAGATCTTTTAAAGATCGAACCATTTTCTCTGTCTTTTTGTGCCCTTCAAATCTCCTCTTATCAATGTCATTTTCAAGGGAAAGACCGTAAAAACCGTAAAAATCTCTTGAAGGTTGCTTTTGAAGAAAACTGCTCGATATGACATTAATTATCAAGCAAAAAGGCAGTTTGAAATAAAAATAGAAAAATTCGTTATTAGATTTGTAGATAAGATTTTGAACTCAGATTGGGTTCAAAAAGTTGATCTAAGGGTAAAGCTGGGCAATAGAATGGCAGGGTGATCACACAAGCAATAGACTTGAACTACTAAGTGTACTACTATAAAACTTCGCCATACTATTGATATTTACCGTAATCATCTCGAAATCATTCGTAATCTCAACGAAATTTCAGCTGGAATGTGCTTTCATTGGGCGGAGTGATGTATTTGATGTATTTGTATTTGTTCTGTGAATTCTTCTACAAAGCCTACATCAAAAAGCGATCTCCAACAAAAGTGACTAAAGCCGAATAAAGAAAAAAAAAACAATATATGAACGAGTAATAAATAGTTTAAATTTTGAATAAAATATATAAGAAATAAAGGGAATGGCAAAATCAGTAAAAACATAGTAAAAACATAGTAAAAACATAGTAAAAACGGGGGTAGTCAAAACAGCGCCATAATAGAAAACGTTCAAAACAGCGCCGTCAAATTTCTCGAAATCCAAAAAACCAAGCCGGTTCAAGTTTTATACCAAAAAATTCCTTGCGTTCTTGGCTACATGATGGGTGAAACAGTTTTTAAAAAAAGTTAATATTTTATAGATAAAAAGAGCACTCAAAATGTGTGTCGAGTGATACTTAGTTGGTTAACTGAATATCTTTAACTGAAACGCAAGGAATTTTTTGGTATAAAACTTGAACCGGCTTGGTTTTTTGGATTTTGAGAAATTTGACCGAGCTGTTTTGAACGTTTTCTATTATGGCGCTGTTTTGACTACCCCCCGTTATTTAATCGTAATCTTTCATCTTTCATGGTCTTTAAACCCTTACAAAATCAGAAAATGAAATAGAAAGACAAGCTTAAGACAGAAAACAATATATGAACGAGTAATAAATAGTTTAAATTTTGAATGAAATGTATAAGACATAAAGGGAATGGCAAAATCAGTAAAAACATAGCAAAAACACAGTAAAAACACATTAAAAACACAGTAAAAACTAGACCATGATTACGATAGGTTTTGAAAGTTTACATGTTTTAGAAAACAATTTAGTTGAAAGGGATACATTGAAAGAAACAATACTAACAATAAGATTTCGATCTAAAGTACTCTTCTTGGCTACAGTCCATGGGAAGTGGCAAGAGCTAAATCAAACATTAAGTGTAGATTCTGGGTTTGATTTTTTTCTCTGTTTGTTGCTTGTTTCTCTAAAAGGTGCCCTTCTCCCTTTCTGACTCTTCCCTTTCCCCTCGTTCTTTACCTAGTTTCTTTTCAATAAGATAGCCTAAGCATTGCTAGTCTATTGTGTAGTCCAGTGCCAGACCTTTCCACCTTTACTTTTCCTAGAGTTTCACCGGTCCTTTTATGGGTTGAGGCGCATGATCGACGCCGGGATTCAAGCCCGCGACCTCTCGCTTACCGGGTGAACACTCTGCCAATGTGCTATACCGTTAGGTATCCCATTGCCGCCAGGATAAGGTGTTATGCCCCTTACTCTAGTGTATCTTCCTTCTTTTGTATCGATTTCGAAATACCAAATCTCCCTTCTGATTCTCCGTTTTTGCATAGTAATCCCTTTAAAATATTAAATTTTCTTTGCACATTCCCCACTAGAAATCTTTTCTTTTCACTTTTCAAGATCTAAATCTTGTGTTTATTTAAATTTGGGTTACCTTGTAAAACTTGAGATGTATTATTCCAGATTTCAAATGAATTCTCGATACTCTCCACCCCTAAAAACATGGAGAGTCAAAGCAATAATCGTAAATCAACACGACCGCTTACATTTCCTTCGAACACCAAAAGGAAGCGCTGTTCTGAATGATTCAAGTAAAAATGAAGAGCAAAATGGTGGTGGGAAAATGATTGGACATAATGTGACGTGTGGGGATTTTCTGGAAGTGACACTTAGGTAAGATGAAAAAAATTTCAAGATTTTAGAGATAATTTCTAAATTTCTAGAGAAAGTGGCTCAGTGCGCTGGTCGGAAAGCAATCCGTATCTCGTTCTCTCGTACAGGAAAATCCCACCACCACCCGGGATTTCTGTGACAGGTTATGGAAAGGATATAAAGGTTGGGGAAGATCTTATTAAATTATCTCATCGATTTTTTAGATTGAATGCATTACCCACTATTCTGGCTTTCTTCGAAACGATGTAGGTGACGGTTTGGACATTTTCACGACCTCTTTCGTTGACAGGATATATGATTTCGATTGTGTAACAACAAGAGTAAAATGGATATGGAAATATACATTATAAATCCTTTCAGATCCTAAAGAATGATCATTATGAAGATGCAGAGTATTTGATGGAGTTGAAAATTGGAAAAGTTCGCCAGAGAAATGGAGAAGAATTAATCGTTTCTCGGCTTATCGATTTTTGGTTTCCCGAGCGAAGAAATGTAAAAAGCTTTGATATTTAAGAAGATCAAATTTTAGTATCAGAGCCAACGAAATGAGGATTCAACTGGATTTTTGAATAAAAGACTTAGAGAGTTTGAAAAGATTGGGAAATTAAATGACAAATCGTTTTAGAGAGATGAATTATGAGAGAAGAGAGAGAAGAGAGAGAAGAGAAGAGAATGAGAACGGTTACAATAGTACCTATTCGTCAGCGAACAGCATCAGAAATGAATCACAATATTTGAGTGAGTTGGGAAATGATCAGCTGATAAAAGCTTCTCAGGTTCTCGCGGAAGTTTCGATGATGGAGAATCGACGCGAAATGAAATCTCACCACCACCACCAAGAGATACGATGGATGAGAGTAGTAAAGAAGAGGTTGGAGAAGGAAGTTGTATCCAGTAATAGTAAGACTGAGCAAGTACAGACTTCTAATATCTCTAGGAGCCAATTGTTATAGCAAAAATCCCAGGCTTTTCAATTAGAAAGCAATATCTTTGCATTTTCAAGAGCCACACAATCATTTCTAGGAAGCGAAGCGATTGTTCCTTCGTTGGTGGTCTAATCCCGAGATGCGTCGAGTTCTTCACGCAAAGGACTCCAAACTCGTTGAAGAGATTCAGAGAACCATGGCTCATAATTCATAAGCAAATTCATATTCTTCTGCCAAATTTTTGCAATTGAATGTACAAAGTACGGTAATATTTATTGTGATATGAAAATTTTCAACGTTATAGTCAAAATTTTGCCAAATTGCCCTATAAACTTTGTTCGTTTATCAGATTTTTAAACTGAATCTTACTAGGGAAAAGCTTCCCGTGGGCTTTCTTTTCCGGACCACATCCTTTTCCGGATCTTACTAAATCGAGTATGGAGATTCATAATCTGAAATCAAAATCTGCCAGATATCAGCAAACGCGTAAAAACTGAATTGAAATTTCGAAGATAAGCTTTAAACGACGCTTTTTAATCACTAGTATATGGACACCGGCGGGCTAGTAGTTAGTGGGACGGCCTCTCGGGAGTAAGATCGAGGTTCGGTCTTGGTTTTTGGTTTTTTTTCTTGAAATGTAATACTTTACAAGTTTTGACCCATTCATTGCTCATTGTGATGTAAATCGTAATTTGAAACAAACGCAGGCACTTTGCGTTTATTAGATGTTTGTGAAAATTTTTATTGTTTTGAATGCTTCGTAATCTCGTTTCATATATGTTAACATTTCACCTTTTGCTTTATTATATTTAATAGTTACAAGGTAAAGTATTACATCTAAAGAAGAAAGAACCAAAAACGAAGAGCGGGACCGAACGCCGATCCTACTACCGACAGGCCGTCCCACTATCCACTAGGCCACCTGGCCACCTGCCCATATTTCAGCGATTGAAAAGCGCCTTTTAAAGCTTCAATTTCATTTTCTTCAATTCTTTAAAGTCGTTTAAAGCTTTGAAATTTCAATTAGATTTTTACGCGTTTGGCAGATTTTGATTTCAGATTATGAATCTCCATACTCGTTTTAGTAAGATGTATGTGGTCCGGAAAAGAAAGCTCACGAGAAGTTCGTGCCTTTCCCTAGTTAGAAATCCCTTCATTTATATTTTTCGGGTGTTTTTATTTATTTTCCAATCACCAATAAAACTTTTATAACCTCGTGAAAAAATGGTCTAGTAATGAGATTTAAATTTTACTTATGCAAATTGTATTTGACATTTTTTATTTCGTCCATCGTCAAAAGCGGAATTGAGGCTTTATTGCTCGAAATCGTCAGTTTCTCCTTTTCTGTCCGATGGTCAACAATCCAGATGAGATACACGTGGAGGGACTTGTCGTGTATCGTCTACAGCGCCTTCGCTACCTTCGAACACTCCATGGGCCGGCGGTGATCAATGATTTGAGTCGCCCTCTTTACCGGGGCGGCTTATCTGTGCAAGAGCTTGATGTTGGCGACTTTGTAGAAGCTATTATGATGCAAGTTTGAATTTTTATTACTTTATTTTATGTTTCTTTAGACCAACGGAGCCGATTTACAATTGGAGGCGTGAGAATCCGTATCGAGTGATCAAATTTGCGAAAATCGACCCGCCAAATGGAGTTGAAGTGACTGGGGAAGGCTACAGCACCGAGGTAAAGGCTCTTGTTTGACTCATTGCATAAATCTTTTAGATAATATGCGATATCATTTATAGTACCATTCAATTAAATTCGAAGGGCGACTATTGTGATATCTACAAAGCGCCGTTCATCGATATGATCTTCGATTTAAACAAGAAAATAAACGTACGTGTTCTAAACAAAATACTGTTTATAATTAGTTTAGAAGTCAAGCGACAAAGATGCGATCTACAAGTGCCGAATGTCCATCGATATGGTGCGAAAGAAAGCTGGTTCGGAGCTCGTCATCAGAAGTCATATCAGCACCAGACTCCCAGATAAAGTTTGTTTATTTGCATTTTATATCAAAAATCACATTTAAGGATGTCTCAACTTATGAACCACCTTTTCGTCGGGCAAATAACTCCCCATCGATGAGAGAGTATCAAGAAGCGTCTTCGTCATTTTGTTCTCTCACACCGACGCCTCCTATACAGAAGCAAAAGTTTTTAGGTAATCGTTTAAGCTTTATATTACTTGTAGTTCACCAACGCGTTTTTTTAATTTTAGATTCTGATGTTCCTCGTAGAAACACTTATCAGCCAGAACCTAGACAAGTACTTTCACCGAGGATTGTCGATGGAGAACCGAATCCTCATCCACATGTCATTGATGATCGAGAAGAGGTTTCCTTATTTACGCAAACATACTTATGACTTTATTTTTAGAGATGCAAAAAGGTACGTGATGAATTGCAGGCACAAATGGTGGTTAAACTGATCGGAGAGGGTTTTATTAAATTCAATCTTTTTAAAACCACAATTAATTTTTTTTAGTTCTTCTTTCAACTATGGCGTCATAAAGAAATTCGAGAAGCAATTGAAGAGCAAGGAGGCGATTTGTTTGACGACATCATTCATCGATTGTCCATTGACGTTTGAAGCGTCTATAAACTTAACTTATTTTTTGAAATGTCCAATTGTTTTAAAAAATTATTTACAATTTTTATTATCATTTAATGACATTAGATTAGTTGAACTTTTTTATCGTGCTAAAATTGATCCTTGCACTTTTTCGTGTCTTTTTTGGGGGTTTGTGATTCGTTCGCTATGCTGCCTTTGCTCACAAATAAACCTTTTGTCTCACTTCAATTTTTAAAGACGATTTTACAAACAGCGGACTGCGAATGACAACAAAATCGGGTGAGAATAAACAAAAGTGAGCGCAATGAAAGTGTTGTATTTATAAGGAAGACAAGAGTACAGAATACCGGCACTGTCTGTTTCTATTTTGCGCCCAGAGCTTTGGACTTGGAAAACCAAAAAATTAATTCATACTTGTCAGTTGAGCTCGTTTTTTACCCGTATAGTACGTACAAATTTGCGCAGAAGTTTTGGGACCTGGTCAAAACAGCGCCGGCCAAAATAATGATGCGTTTGCGGTTAAGTTTATTTGTGTTTCTTATTTTCATTGGATGTAGAAAAATATTAGCTATCTGCTGAATTTTTTGGAGCCGTTTAGAACAAATCTGGGATGAGAAAATGCCAAAAAAAACGAAAAAGGGTTCAAAAAGAGGTTAACTGGGCTTTTCTCGACACCAATCCTGTTTTAAGTGATCCCAAAGTATGCAAAATGTAGATAATTTTATTCTGCCTCCAATAAGAATAAGAAACGCATAAAAACTTAACCGCGGAGGGGCTATTTTTGCTATGGCGCTGTTTTGACCAGCTCCCGAACCTTTAGAAACTTACTAATGAGGCTATCATATTTCACTTCACTGGCTTGGAGCTGTTACTATCCAAATTACAAAAAGACTCTTCTGTTTATTGTTTTGCGTTCCCTTGTCTTTTTAAATTTTATAATACTTTTTATTTTTAGAAACGATGAGCCCGCCATATGAAACGAGACGCTGCGTCGGATTCGTCGCCCATCGTCTGGAACGTCTACGCTACTGCCGCACGCCATTCGGGAATGCTGTCATCAACGACATGAGCTGGCCTGAGGGTGGTCTGATCTCCGACATCGACATCGGGGATTTTGTGATCGTGACAATTCGGTACTCAATTTTTTTTTGAAAAAGATAATTTAGAAACTTTAGAGAAACCGAGCCGCATTTTCACTGGCGAAAGAACAACCCATTTCGTGTTGTTTCATTTTTGAAGACTGCCCCACCTGAGGGTGTTGACCGAGTCGAAAAAGGTGATAACGTCAGGGTGAGTTTCATTTTACTGCATAGCTTTTAGTTAATTATTGTTTTAGTTGGTGTGTAACGTCATTTATTGGGGTAAGAACGCTCACGGCTTGCCAACTTATCGATCAACTTTTGCTAGTTCTATCCAAGACGTCTATCATCGGATCGAAGTAATTTTTCGATGTTTTTTATTTGATCTTTTAGAATCCTGAGCCAGAGCCGGTCGAATACAAAGTTTGCATCAGATTGCTTGCGCTAGTCAACCAGCCTGGAAAAGAGCTTATCATTTCTGCTCTGATCAACACAATAAGACCAAAGGTAATTGAAAACAATAATGAGCTCATTTCTACCTACTTTTAGCCATCGGAGCGAGGATTTTTGGGAGCCACTTCACCTGCTGAATTAAGCGAAGAATTGGAAAAGGTCGCACTTTCGACATCGCTTCCGTTAGATGACAGCTTCGATCAACCATTAGAGGACAGTAAACCAATTTCTCTAGGAGGTAACCTTTGACACTTGTCCACTTTAATCTTGCTATGATTTAGTTTACCCATCGGAGCAGCAGCAAAAAAATAACGTTGAGCAAAGTCAATGGGCAATCCATTTCGACAACGAGGATTTGCTTGCATCGAGACCGATCGTTAAGACAAAGGAAGAGGTAACAACTTTATTCTTATTAGTTGATTTATCTTTTTTAGAAAGGTCGAGAGATTTTGATGCAGATATGGAACAACACTAAAATTCGCAGGGTCATTCACAAAAGCAAGCCGGAAATCTCCGAATTGATCAATCAGCACTTTCCCGCTTTCTAATTTGGTTTAGTCATAAGTTCACTTGACATTTGCTTTGCAATTCTTGTTTTTACTATATTATCGAATTTATGTTTGTTATTCTCATCGGCATTTGTTATCAGTTATCTTAGTTGTTGTTCTAATAAAACTTTTTTTTGAGGTGTAAAAAAACAGGCACCGATTCGATGATTTCGATGAGACTGAGCAGCAATTAGTGGTGTCTGATCGGAGGCAAAAAAGGCGGATAGAAATTCTCTCATTGAGGTGGCACCTTTTTTGTGCATTGACCCACTGCTTGGCATTCTGGAAAAAAACGGGGGGGGGGACTGGCGTTAGGGGAAAAGCTTGACTTCGTCACCATCGAGTTCACCGATCTGTGTCTGCTTTCACACACACGCGCGCACATAAAGAAAGAAAAACGAAGAGTCAATCGGAATCTCTGTAGCAATCAGGAGAAATCGGTTCTTTGTTTCTCTCCAAATTGACGGTCATATGTTGTCAAACTGGCACACACACTTGCCTTCATCTCTCTTCTTTTCTTTCCCATAGCTTTATCGCCGAGAGAAGAGAAAATTGTGCAAGGACGCTCGAACACCATCGCTTCCTCTCTTTCTTTCCAATTTCCCTCCCCTCGCACGGGCACATTTTCAGTTCTGCCACAAAAACTATCTACGCCCTTGTCTCCGCCCTGAGGGGAGTACAGACCGGTCTCCAAGTGGCTTCCCCTATAAAAGCATGGAAAGAAAAGAGAATCCCCAGAGTCGTCTCCTTCTCCCAAAGTAGCGCCTCCCAAACTAATCATGGACCTCGAAACTCGGATCAAAGCCTACCGCTTTGTGGCCTATTCGGCTGTGACCTTCTCGGTGGTGGCTGTCCTCTCCGTTTGTGTCACCCTTCCAATGGTGTACAACTATGTGCATCATGTGAAGCGATCGATGCAAAATGAGATCACTTTCTGCAAAGGATCCGCCAAGGATATCTGGAGCGAGGTAACGAAAAAAAAATGATGGATACTTATAATTCTCGAATTTCCAGGTTAACCACTTGAAGAACTTGCCAACTGGAAACCGTACTGCCCGTCAATCCGGATACGGAGATGCCGGAGTTGGAGGATCAGGAGGCTCAAGCGGTGGCGGAAGCTGTGACTCGTGCTGCCTTCCCGGACCAGCTGGAGCCGCTGGAGCCCCCGGAAAGCCTGGACGCCCCGGAAAGGTGAAAAGTTGACTCGTGAAGAGTTTTTAACCTTGAAGAATTCAGCCCGGAGCTCCTGGACTCCCCGGAAATCCCGGACGCCCACCACAGCAGCCATGTGAGCCAGTCACCCCACCACCATGCAAACCATGCCCACAAGGTGAAAAGTTGATCTGATAATGAAATTTCTAAAGAACCCAAAATATCTAAAAGAAAACTTTTCAGGACCACCCGGACCACCCGGACCCCCTGGACCACCAGGAGATGCTGGAGCCCCAGGACAGCCAGGACAACCCGGAAACGACGCCGCCCCCGGACAACCCGGACCCAAGGGACCACCTGGACCACCCGGAAACCCTGGAGCTCCCGGAGCCCCTGGAGAGCCTGGAGCACCAGCTGTCAGCGAGCCACTCGTCCCCGGAGAGCCTGGACAGCCCGGAGAGCCCGGACCACAAGGACCACCCGGACCACCTGGACAACCCGGGCAAGATGGAGCCCCAGGACAACCCGGACCCAAGGGACCATCCGGACCCGACGGACAGCCCGGACAAGACGGAAACCCTGGTAAGTTCTAAGAAAAGGATTTCAGAGGGTCAGGTACTGGTTGTATCGCAGTAGTGAAGCTGATTAGTTACCAACAATATCAACATTCAAAAATTGAATTTTAAGGAGCTCCCGGACAGCCTGGACAACCAGGAGCCGCCGGAGAGAAGGGAATCTGCCCCAAGTACTGCGCCATCGATGGAGGAGTCTTCTTCGAGGACGGAACTCGTCGTTAAATTTATCATTACTATGCTCATTCAAAAAGCCACGAAAAACATCCACAACGTGGCATAGGCATAAAATCTCTAGCATCATTTCTTTCTCAAAATGCATCCAAAAACACAACACATACTTTTTCAAAGCCTGAAATGTTTTTGAAACAATGCAGATGATAACAATTTTATTACCCTAAAATAAAACTAGAACCTTTTGAACTATAAACAAAGAATGCGTCTAAAAAGAAGTGCTTACATAGACAACCGTTAGACAAAAAATGACAAAATGAGTGCCAAAACTGGAAACACTTTAATGGCAGTTTTGCTGAACTGCAAAAAGAGGAGACTATGCCACCGGGTTCGTTTAAAATGCACACCGAAAACTATAATGCACAATCATCGGAGAGATAGAATAACAACCGGTTCGATACCAGATAAAAATCTAATTGTCATAAAACCAAAGAAATTATGTCAAAACACAAAAACACATTGAGCAAAAATTGCTTTAAAAAACCTGTATGGGTTTAGAAGTAAAGTACTAATGTTTCGAGTAACAGCAACAATCTTCAACGGCTTTTCCACTAATCAGACATTGGAGTGACGGTGCGGGTGGCTAAAGAGAGGGATAAAAACAGACTCAGAGAAGAATTTTTACCTGAGATTCCGAAGTCTGCCAAGCGTTTGAGCACTGGTCGATAAACCTGTTAAAATAGGGTTAACTGTTGGTAAAAGATAAAGCCAAACCTCTTTGATGACTGGGCGAAGAACGCCTCCCTTTTGGATTTCACCTAAAATTTGATACATATGATAAAATTGTAATATTTTAGCTTTCATTTAAAATCCATACCCTCAAGAATCATGTGCGAAACGATGGCACAAGTGTATCCAACGGTGCGAGCCATTGCCGAAAATCCATTCTCTCCACCATATGCAACAAGGCTGATTCTAAAGCAAAAGGTATACGCATTTAAACAAAGCAACAAAACATATATACCTATGTCTTTCTTTTGCACCATTGCGAAGCTGCACACCGATGTCGTGATTAAGAAGAACCAAATCACGTTCTTTTTCACGGAAAGAAAGGACCTATTTCAACTGATTTAATTTTGCTCGTAGAAACTAAAAACCTTGGCCAAGTAGGGCGCTAGAGTATCAATAGCCGATCCATGGCGCTCTCCAACAATATCCGAGAAGAAACCAAGTTCGATAAGAGCGCGCATACCAACCTGAAGCTCATAATTAATAGTTTAAAAATGTAATCAAGTAATTACCGGATTTTCTTTTCCAACACGCTCGGTAGCAATATTAATCAAAGATTCGGGGAAAATATCCGGTTGTTGGTTTAGCAGACTAGCCATAAGTTCTTTCTAAACTTCTACTTTAACGAATAGAAAAAGCTATATTTACCCAAGTGAGATCTGGTCCGACGGTAGAATTAAAGATCTCCGAGCGATTCGAGTTGAGTAAACCAACCGCTTCCAGAGCCTTCACCGTTTCAACAAAGCCCTAAAATAGATTCCATATTATACTTGATAAAAACTAGCATACCCTGTAGCGAAGTGTTCCACGTAAAAGTGTCTTACATTCAGAGCCCAGTCCATAGATGTCAGCATACCTAAACCAAAATAGTAGTGCTTAAAGAACAGTAAGACTAACTTTGTTGAGTCACGGTTTGGATAGCCGATGAGGTTGAAGCCTGGCATGAAATCGATCGGGTAGAGACTGTCGACAACTTTTCCGGCTGGAATGTCCACAATCTAGAATGCGTGATTTAACTCGGAGCAGAGCAAAAAAATACTTTGCCATCCATCAGATAACGTGCGGGATTTAAAAGCGCCATGAGGACTCCTTTTGGTGACCAGCTGAACTTGTAACGAAGGGGATTTTCCGAAACTTCTGGTGCAGGAAGACCTCCGCAGAAGGAAACAAACGAGGTGACCTAAAGTGTTTCACGATTAAAAAGAGAATAATAAATTTAAGACTAACCTTTCCTCCATGTTCTTGCACTTTGTCGAAACAGTCAACGGCAAGCATGTGGTCAATGCCGGGATCGAGACCTAAATAAATCAAATCTACTCAGTATCCTGCTTTATTGATTCTAGGTAAATGAGGAGGATACCTGATTCATTCATAATTGTCACTCCAGCATCACGGGCCCTAAATTATAAAAATTAAGGATAAAAGAAATGGTTTCCAACGCTTTGTGAAGTTCTTGTAGTTCGGGCGACACGTAGCTAGAGGTGCACATATCCGTTCTAAACAATCTTTTTGTTCCAAACCACCAAATGAATGCTTACCCGTGTTTAATGCACATCTTCGCAACCGCTGTGTGGAAAGTGAAAGGAAGAAGCGAGACTACCAAATCGTGTTCCCTAAAGTTGGCATAAATTTGAGATAAATACAACAAATTACTTGATAAGATCAGAAAGGGTTCCTTGTTCTTTATTGACATCCAAAACAATGTTTGAGATGTTCGGTGATGTGCAAAGCTTTTGACCATCAGCCAACGATTCTGTAGCTACCGTTAATGAAACCTAGGAATCAAGTTGAAAATGAATAGTTCATAACAGATACATTGCTTTGTCGGGAATAGAAATCAGCCACCGGACCTGAGACCATACCAGCACCTAGAAGAAGGACCTAAAGTAAGTAGTTAGATAGGTAATTCCACGTTTTTAAAAACTGACCTTTTTCTCGTTGACACCCGTGGCTCTTGTTTTATGCGAAGAGCTAAAGGTTTAAAAATTTAAAAAGCAAAGAAGCTAGAACCTCAAAGCTTTTTGTTTTCGCAAGTCAGCGATGTATTCAAAATCGGGCGTCAACCCGCCATTGTTTGTAATGATGGCTCGTTTGACTTCGGGGGCGCATTGAAGACGATCAAACGGCAAATCTGTTGAGCAATTCAACTAGAAACAAATAAAAAGGGTTTTGATCAATTACAAAACCATGTCGATAACGTATGGAAACAGTAGGTTTCCGAATTGTTCAGTCGCTTCGACAGGCATTTGAGCCGGCATGTTGTCAATCGAACATACAAGGCAGCCCGATTTGGAATCAAAACTAAAACAAACGATGAGTTCTAGATAAAAGTTAACCAAATTACCCATCCTTGCTCGTGTTGAAGTCAGCATCGTAAATCGTGAAGGGCTTATCGATCGTTGTGCATTCGGTCATAAATTCAATAGAACCACCAGGGTCGGCCGAAATATCACATAGCGCAATCAAACGATGAGGGAGAGAGGGGCAACCAGGCATGTCATACTAAAAATATGCAAAGTATTAACTAGTCAACTCGAAGTCACCTTATTTACAGGTGTCAGCAAATTCTTTGCGTCGGGGATAGTCAGCAATCGAGGAGTATTGACACCCCAATAAACACCGTTTATGATCACCGAAGCATATGGAGCAATCTGAACGCCAAATGATTTAGACGCTTTACAAAGTGTATAATACCTCCGTGGCGAATTTAGACCGGAAATTCTCTGGGTGTTCTTCGAATTCTTGCTTATTGTAAACACCTTCATTTGATTTGGGAACCATATGGTCAGCTCTTGTCACCACGCACCCGTATACCTTGTTCAACTCTAAAATGAAACTTTTACACGCACCAAACTTTCAAACGCACGTCCTTTTTGCGCAACTTTAGGCAATGTTGCGACGTCAACAAATTCATGGGGCAGATGCTCGAAAAGCTCTTGGGCTCCTTGCGATACATTTCCAGAGCCGGTAAATACAAACACGAGTGGACCAAGAGACCTAAAGTGATGCTTTTTATATAAAAAACCTTGCTTTTGTAAGCTTACCGAGGCATTTTATTCAAGGCGATTTCATATCCAATATCACGAATTGCGTTGATTGCCTAAATTCATTATAATAAACAAAACAGTATAAACCAATAACTCACCATATGACTATCCGAATAGTTATGCGCCAAGCCAAGATGCAAAAATGGTGTGTGGTGCCCTAGAATTTTATCATTAACCCCTTTTTTTAAACCTTGCTAACATACCAAGTGCAAGCAATCGAAGACCAAGTCCATGAAGAATATCAATGAAACCAGCATGGCCAGCCCACTTTCCAAACATAACTTTTCGCTTCCCCTTCTCATCGACGATTTTCTCGTAATCGATAAGCCGAATTTTCTAAAAAGCATTTTACAATAAGTTATATTCACAAATGTACCCTTTGCAAAATGGTGTCAAGCATGGCCATATTGTCCTGTTGAGCTTTGATCGTGTGCGAAAAGAAAGCATAGGCTTTCTCGGGAATCAGTTGATCAATGGGAACCTGATTTTTTTATTAAAATCATTAGTAGTACAAGTGTTAATACCTGTTTGACGGAAATAATCAATTGCGCCTCGCTCAAATCCTCCTTCACTAAAGCTCCAGCGGCCACATAGTCCTAAAGTTACATTAAATGAAAGGTGATTTTAATCTGTCGAACCTGAATAGGAAAAGCTCTTCTGTTGCTTGGTTGAATCAGCACTCGTACGCCTTTCTTTGTCAACTTCTTCACATGTACTGGTGCCAATGGTGCACGCCTTTCCCACGCATTAATCGTTTCGCGTCGAATGCCCAGAGTTGGGACACCTTTTCCAACATAACTAAAACAAAAACATCAAAAACTAGAAGAATTATTCACATCCTTAATGTTTTATAGATATGGTCAAAACATTACAGTAGACTTTCCTAAGAGTCTTATCATTTCCCAAAAAGGAACAAAGAAAAGTGCTTACTGGGAGTGATAACGAGAGATCTCTTTTGACAGTCGGCCGAGAGAAAGATATCGCAACATTCTCTCTAAAAATACGTACTCTTTAAAACCGATAACATTTTCTTAAAAGAAACACAAGAATTTTAGCAAAGTTGCGAACGTTTTTTCACCGCCACAACGTTAAGGAGGAAAGCGTAACGTTAGGCCATTAAAAATGAACAAATGTTTACCCAAAGCGAGCGTTTAGAATTGTCACGTGTATGTCTTATTTTTCTCTGGGTCTCTGCCCTCATGATGCTCACCAAAACGTTCATCCCACGGGTTTTTCGGTCGAAAAATAGCACATTTGTCGCCCAAAACTTTGAAAAGAGCATACGTCAATGAAGTTTTTAAAATATTTTGTTAGTTTAAAAAGCGCATTTTACTACACAAAAACATCATCTTTTCTAAAGTAGGTAACTTCAAGTAAAATAAAACCGAAAAATGTCTGAAATCTGTCTGAAAAATGAATATTTATTGAGAACGAGAAATAACAAATTAACAAACAAAAATGGCGGAAAATCTAAAGCTAAAAATCTAAATACATGTGTCTAATTTCTACGTACACTAGTTCTAATAATTTTTTCTTGGTCGTGTTCATTGAGCATTTGGTAGTCGTGGACCTAAAATACGAAATCAAGGATTTCGATCGTCAGTACCTGAACATGTAGTGAAGCGTATCCAGATGACAAAGTTCTTATGGTCGAGGCTAAATCGGGCATCTCCGCTAATGGAATAATACCAGATATTGTCGTCGAGTTACCTTTAAAAAACGTGAAGAGTCAAATAATGCCAAAGCTTACCGATCGGAGTGACCCCACTAATTTGAGTCCTTCGTTTGCTAAGTTCTTGCAGAATTGGTTGAAGACCAGGTGTCGAAGAGTCAAGATTCTAAAAGGATTTATTTCCTGCCGCATCATCTCCAATCGTTTAGATTTTGTAATTAATCGTTCCTATTATGGAATCTATGAGGGTTGCCCACTTGTACAGTGATATCCAATTTCATCACAGGTTCCGCAAGTCGAACACCACTTTCGTCCAACGCTTCGCTGACACAACGATTTGCACATGCGGATACTAAATGATTTATGATAAATAACACCCATTTAAAACTAACTTAAAGCTGTATTAATTTTTCCACCACTGACTGTGTATCCATCAAGCGAGATCGAAACGTTGGAAATCTTAATCAGGAATCATGTGTATAGATTTAATAAATAAAACTGGAAATCCAAGTAGTGGTCCATTTTGAAGAGCATTCATGCAACCCTCGTTTATGGCTTGAATCCATTCAGCTCTCGGAGGAAGGGGTGGTGGATCTTTCGGCAAATTTAACGAAACCTAAAACAAAAAAACATATAGCTAAAATTCATTGCATACTTGTTTAAACTTTGCGTCACTCGGAGATATCGATAAATTTAGTGACGCCGCATGTATTCTGCCATTCAAAGTTTCTTCAACTGACGTCGAGCGTGACGCCGCATTTAAAATCACTTCTCGATATGCAATCTAAATTGTAATCACATATTATCGTAAAGAGTCATACAAACCTGCAATGGGCCCAAGAAAACTTTTAGACCATAGTTCGTCAAGAACCTATCTTTAATCACCTCCAGATGCAATTCTCCCATGGCCTCGATGATCTAAAGTTGGGAGTTGAGAGACACAAGATACTATCTTACCATTTGTCCAGTTTCTTGACTGACTCGAAATCTCATAGACGGATCTTCGACACAAAGTTCAGAGAGCGCTTTTTCGAATTCATGTTGTGAGCTGGTTGAAGGTGGCTCAACACTGCAATAATACACGGGCTCTGGAGTCTCAATACCTAAAGAATATTGCGCACAAATGTTTAAAAAAGATAACCTGTCATTGTTAGCACGTTCTTGTCACTTTTCACATTTTTTACAACCGATAATCTAAAGAGAATTTGCTATTTTTGCCGACGACAAAATTACCTATGGAGTCCAACATTGTGAGCTTGTTTTCGGTGACTGTCATGCGAAATTGTTTGTGAAATTTTTCGGTTGGTATGATGTTTCTTTGCTGCTTCATACCCAAGTAAATCGCTTAAAAAAATTGTGAATTATGATAGAAACAGTCTCAAATTTACGTGGCTAATAGTGTATCTCCGGTGATCGTTTTCTTCAAACCAGATACTACGGCAATATTACCCGCTGTTATAACATCAACGGACGTAAGTTCATCGCTATACGGTAGAAATACCTATGTAGTGGATGTTTGAGTAATGCAATAACAAAAACCTACTTTGGCCGGACCTTCGTTTTGCCCGCGGGTTGCGTTAAAAATAGTTGCGTTGTTTTTTAAACTGCCGGTGTAAACACGCAGATAACTAAGCGGGCCTTTTCGTTTATCGTGCGTAACCTAAATTTGTTACTATGCATTTATTTAAACTTTCAAACCTTAAAAACAAGAGCGCTCAATTGATCCTCGAAGTATTCGGAAAGGTTTAGCTCCTCTTCAGGGTTTGGTAAAAAGCTCGCCACCGCATCCAAAGCTGTGCTAACGCTTGCATTCCATCTGAAATAAAAGACTTTTAGTCAATAAAGCTTATAATAACCTCAACGCACTACCACAAGACACGGCACTGCCCATTCTCTTCAAAGTGACACGAAGAATTGCTAAAAAGCAAATTATACGTTTTAGCTTTTGGAAAAGTCTTACCTTCATAAATTGTGTTCGCTTTAATATTTTGAAAGTTATTATCAAGAAATTCGTCCGAGAACTCCTTGTCACAATCAGCTAATGAATATAACATTTCTTCATGACCTCGTAGATAGGCTTCTTCAATTCTCGTGTTTTTCTAAATACACTAGTAAGCTGAGTTTCACCAAAATAAGTACATCAATCGCAATCCATCGTGGAGATTCACTTGTCACATCAAGCCATGACTTCTTCAATAAGTCAACTATACCAGTAACTTTTCCCCCATCTCTCACTAGGCTTGATGTCAGAATTGCTGAAGAAAGCTTTAATAAATAAAAAAAAACAAGCTCACTTTTTACTCCCAATTTCTGCTCTATCGAATCAATTGCTTTCTTTTCATCAGCTCCTTTCTTATCCATTTTGTTCAGAAAGAAAACGGATGGAAGATTAAATTTTGACGCTTGGTTATAGACGGTAAGTGTTTGGGCCTAAAATCACAAAGATTCGAGCAAGACGTTCAAGGAGCCAACTTGAACACCGACTGATCCATCTAAAACGACAACAACTCCGTCCATAACTCTCAAAGACCTGAATTAAAGTAATAATAAAACAAGAACACTTTAGATTTAACATATAATAGGATCCAAACTCGACCTTTCAACTTCCATCGTAAAATCGACATGACCAGGAGTATCAATTAAATTGATCTTATGGCCATGCCAGTCAAAGTGAACAACCGCCGATTGTACAGTAATGCCTAGACGTTCATTTCAAAAGGTGAATTTGATACAAAAAACTCACCCCTTTCCCTTTCAATGTCAAGATAATCTGTTACAGTTGTTCCTGAATCAACATTCCCTACCGATTTTATCATCCCTTAAGCAAATCGTATAAATATTTATCAAGGAAAAGTGTTACCTGCCAAATAAAGAAATTTTTCTGTGATCGTAGTTTTTCCCGAGTCAATATGTGCAATTATTCCAATGTTTCGTATATTTGAAGGTTTCTTTTTTGTTGTCTAAATGTAAGCTTTAAAACAATCTAATTTGTAACCTACTAAAAGCCGGAGTGCCTGTTTTCTAAAAATCCTTTGAAGTAAATATGTGCGTACTTGACTCATTTCCTAAAGAAGACTAATAAATTGTGAAACTTCAGCACAACTGAACAAAGATGTGAATCAAATGTTTAAACGTCTTTCAGCCAAAAATAAAACTTTTAAATAAAGCATTTATTCAATTTGAGATTTATTGTTAAAACGCGTACAAGAGATCAAAAATAGAAGTGTCAACTAACCGTACAAGTACTCATTTACATGAAATTGAATGCACAAAAAAGCAGCGTATAACAAACAACAAAATAACAATAAAAAATAAAGAACTCAAATTAATGATGGAGAAATTGACCCAAACTGACTTTCGTTTTGACTGCATTCAAGGGAGTTAGCTTGTAAGCAAATGATACTCCTTTCGTTTTATTGGCGGATGAAATCGACTTCTAAAAAACGATAACTTAGAAAAAGATATTCAGATTTAGTCTCAATCTACATAAGCACGCTAAACTTACAATCATTTTTGGTGTCGTTTCAGTCGCAAAATCCCTCCATTTTCTTTTACGTATTTCCTTACTGATAGACGGTGTTTCTAGGTTTTCTTTATCCATTATCATTGCACTCTCAGCGTCCAGCTCATCCAAACGAACGTGTTTTTGTTTCACCTGAACTAGTTTTACAAGTGTAATTCAAAGAAAAGTACCAATCGAGCGATTTCTTCTCTATATGCGTTGTTCAACACAACTTTCGATTTATTTGAAAGTTCAAATAAGCATATGCTGTCGATCAAACTAAAACTCTTTAATGATACAAACAGTAAAGTAGCTTACGGGTCATATAGCCATTGAATTTGATCACGAACTGAGAAGGCTTTGAATGTGATTCCAAATTGAACCAATATCTGGGAAATATTTGAAAGCGCTCGTCGCTCAGTGTGTGATATCAGCGAAACGTTTGCCTAAAAACACAAGTTAATGATCAATGAAAAGCACTTTACCTGTTTGAATGTCGGTTGCGTTATAACGAGAACTAACGGCAATACTTCAAGAATGAGTGGCAGCCGATATGTCTCAAGGATATTTGCACGAATTGAACGAAGACACTCCTTAAAATTTATATGATTTTTAGTTTGGATAGTTATTTTCACCTCATTTGCTTTCATTTTAGCAGCTGCGTCAATTTGTGGATAAAGAAGTTGAATTTTCGAATGAGTAGTCAATAACAGATGTAGCGGGGAATAAAAGCTGTAGAAATATCGAGACAGTCCATAATTTTGTTTTTCCTAAAAGTTGAAAGTAACATCCTTAAAATTGATAGCTTGAATAACCTGGATAACTCGATTGATTGAATCGTAAAACACGAAGCAATTACTGGCTTGTGAGATTTTGCTGAACGAATTCGCCGGATGGTGCCTAAAATTTAAGAATTATTCAAAATATACCCAAAAAACCTTGTGTAGTTATGATGGAGACCTAAAACGAAGCGTTCGCGTTGATCACCGGCCATCATCCAAGCCTTTTCCACGGTGATCAATCTCGTTGACTCGGACATGAGAATTCCTCGCCTAAAAACGATACAATCAAAGTGACTTTAAAATTCTTACTTGTCATAGTGTCGATTCAAGTCCAAAAATTTTGCCCATTGTTCAAAGAGGTTAGAATTTCCAAGTGAATTTTGTTGGCATGCCTAAAATAGTATCATAGATTTTGTATTCGCCAATCACAAAGCCTACCTTTATCACATCGTCTTCACCAATGAACTCATCCCGATTTGTGATTCGACTCAAAAATTGTAGAGTATTAATCTAAAATGCACATAAATCACATTGAAACTTCATCAAAAACCGATAATCGAATGTCGCCTTCCGTGCACTCAATTAATTTTTCAATACAATGACGATCTATCAACACATCTTCTTGGTCCGCAATCTGAATTAACGATTACAAAGTTGGCAAAGGGAAAAAGAAAAGTTACCTTCTCAAGTCGACCAGCTAGAATGGTTTCATGAGGATGATTCACTAAAATAACCGCCGCATGCTGCCGTAACTCTCGCAAGTTAGATGAATAACTAGGACAAATAACTGTTGAACTATATCAAAAAGATTTACAGAGTGTTGCAAATAGCAATGATTGGTCTACGCAACGCCTTCTTGCCTATTGCAGTTATCGCTTTAGACAACCAATTAATTGCATCAGCAGGAGCACCGTCAATCTAAAACAACGTTTGCTTTTAAATCGCCTGAACGAGTCTAACTTCATCGAGTAGCAAAATTTGTGGTCGTTTTGTTCCATTGATAGTCCTTTTTGTTTCTGCCACTGATCGTAAAAGCTTCTCTAAGTCAGAAACGTTTCTAAATAAGATTTTCTAAGATAAAAGAGTTTCCTTAACCTTGAATCACTGGCATTAACATGAACAATGTCATAGCCAGTTTGTTGAGCGATGACGGTGGCTAGTGTTGTTTTACCAACACCGGCAGATCCCGCTAACAAAAGTATCTAAATTTGAGGTTTGGACAAGCACTAAATTTTTCTGACCTTATGCTTTGGACGATGAGGCTTTTCAGCTTCTGTTTCTAATAAAACTTTTTCCTTGTCGCGAATATGGGTGAGATGAGATAAGGCTGATCGATTAAAGACACATTCATCCCACAGCTTGACCCAAGTTAGAACATTCCGATTTACACTCTAAAAACTTCAAAAATATAAAAATAAAAATGAACTAAACCCACATCTTCGGAAAGAAGGTCCAAAAAGGTTTTGGGTCGATATCTATCAACCCATAAGCTGCCTTCAGGCGTTTTGTTATTACTTTGAGGCGAAGATTCCGGAAGAATGCTGTGGGAAGGTTCACTTGGCAACTTTTTTGCTCTAAATTTCATTTAATTTTTGACTTTATAAAGCACTACCTCAAAGCATTTGCCTCCAGAATTAGCTTATTCAAGGTATTGGTTTCGAAAATTCCAGTGTTTCTCCGATTGATTGACTTTTCTTTAAGTGAGTTCTTTGGAATTTTGCGTATATACAATCTAGAAATGTAAAATTTGACTAGACAACAAAATTTTCAGACCTGCGAGTATTACAAGCTGTGCTGACACCAATCCAAGGTGTCCCATCAGACGGAGGCTCGTATAATATCTAGAAAAGGCATGTTCGTCCAGCTCAATCGGATTCTAACGTAATCTCCAACTGCTAACTCATCAACAAATTAACCAACCTCCGACTTACAGATACTGTCCACGTCCGACACCATTGGTTCAAAGTGAATGTCCGAATTGATCCCGTCATGATCTCTGTTTTTCTGAGTTTCTTTCCTAGTTCGTAGCTAAAAAATACCATAAAAAGTCTTTAATTAAAACAACTTCTTCAATCTTATTGGCCAATCGATCAACAGCTTCTTCACGTGCGCGTTGTTTCGCTCTATGTAGCGCCGAGAGTTCCGAATAATCGGGGAAACGCATATGCCAATCTAATAAAATTATTACACCTTTCAATAACAATCATATACCAATTGGATGAACAAAAACGTTATCTGGTGGAAAATCTTCAGGCTTCCGGATAACAACAGAATTTGAATTTCTTCCGTCAATTCGATTTAGCGCATTGATAGCTGATGTTGGTGGTATCTAGAAAATGCTCGTTCTTTACAACTAATTATTTCACGATTAACTTACAGTAGCCCTATTTTCATTAATCTCCATTTGTTCCTCTTCATCTTGATCACTAAAGAGTACGCTTACAATCGCGGACAGAGCAAAATGACTCACTAGCGGAGGTCAGATCCGGGATCAAGATCAAAATCGTCGATGTCTGGTAAAACGTCCATTCTAAACTTATCGAAGTAACATTTGTTTTTAGCCCGTATTTAAAAACCCGTTTGATAATGAACATTTTTTTGCGTCTATTTCAAGCATAAACTTCGTATCCGAATAAATCCGTAAAACAAGCGTAAATTCCAACCATTCAAATCCAAACGCCGTTTTAGTACCAGGAATTGGCATAACTTTTGTACAAATAGTGTTTAGAGTTAGACTGCAAACTTTGCAACTGACGAAACAATATAACTTTATTAAACACAACAACACTGCTTGCGGAGCTAATAGGGCAACGAGATCATTATCCGTACTTTAGAAATCAACAGATTGACGGACCAGAAAACATAAAATAACCGGATAGCCAACCTGACAAATAATCAAGCTAAGAGGAAATAAAAATCTTTCAAAGAACAACAAATGAAAAGTAGAGAAAATAAGCCTCATAGTTTCACTCCAACAATGCAGCGTTGATTTAAAAACAAATGCTCCTTCCAAGCTTGTGCAATCTCTAAAATGTGAATATAAACCTACTGTTTTGACAAAAAAGTACCAATTGTGGCTCTGTTGACCTCCGCGTCCTCCTCGGCGTTCAAATCCACCACGAAATCCTCCTACACCGCCACGATTGCCAAAGCCTCGATTGTTGTTTTGAAATCCACCGCGTTTTGGAAATCCTCCATTACGTTGAGATTGGTATTGCTGCGGGTCCTTTTGCTCTGATACATTGACAACGTCGTCAAATCCAAATGATGGCACGGAGATCTTCAAAGTCTTGTAGCCACCTTCATCCTAAATTTGATTGAATAAATCAATACTTTTCTAACATTTCATCCTCCATTGAGGGAAGGCGATAATCCCATAATACCAATTTCGTTGATAAAAATTCGCTTAAATTTCCAAATTAAACATACTTCCACAGCGGCGTCGATCACTTTTTTGGCATCTCTCGAGGTTTTCATTGTCAAGAAAGCGTACGCAGCTTGATTTTCGGACTTATCAAGAATTTTGCTTGGAATGTGGACACTGTCGACCTCGCCAATGGCTAAATAAGTTTGAATTTGCATGATGAAAAAAGCTTACTAGAAAAGAATTTTTTCAATTCTTCAGCGGGTGCCCGAGTATCACTTGGATTTGTGTGACGAATGATGTTGGAGACAAAGATTTTTCGATTTCCCGCATCTTGCTGCTGTGACGAGTCTCGCTGACTTGGCTGTTGTCGGGGGTTTCTGTAATAATTGAAATCTATCGTTGGTAGTTAAAACGAAAAACTACCTTTACCAGGAATTATTGCAGAAACTTGCGGCTTGGGTGGTGCAACTGGAACCGGATCTGGCTTTGGCGCAGCCCCGCCAACCAACGTTGCCCATGTTTTTGGGGCAGATGGAACTTGTGGGGCCGGTGGCTTTGGTGCTTCAGCTGGTTGTTCCACTTTTGGCTTCTCAGGTTTTGGTTTTTCTTCCTCGACGACTTCAATGCGCTCTTTTTGTGGAATTTTCACGTAAGAGGCCGTATCTAAAATCATTATTTTTAAATAACAATAAAAACCACATACCGTCAAAACTCTTTAATGGAGCATTGGCTAGTAGATCTTTCTTGGGTGATGGCTAAAAAAGATCGTAAATAATTGCTGAAAGACTGGAAGCGTTACTTCATTTTGTTGTGAAAGATGGCCATTCAGTTTCGTTGATTGAATTTGCTCAGTGACAGCTCCTTGTGATTCGCCATCATTTTCAAAAGCCTTAAGGAGACATTTTTTTGTTGTAAATTAACAAAACCTTATCGTGATACATAAAGATGTCGTTCTGGACATAGAATTTCTTCGCTTGTTGTTGTCCCAACACAAAAGTTTGCGCAAATTTTCGTCTTGGTGCATTGTGAAGGCTAATCTCTCCAATCACTTGAAGAACGATTCCATCAGCAAGCGTTGATGAACCCTAAAGCATTTAATGTAAACTGTTATGTGTTCATATTAAAGAAAAAAACAACCAAGACTCACCTGAATAGAGTAGATTCGAAACTTGCTATCGTGGAAAGCAATCTCGTCAATGGTCTTTTGAATGTCCTAAAAAAGAAAAAAATGTTATACCCCCAAAACAACTTTAATCTACTTTGTCAAATTGATTGTAGTTTATAAAAGATAAACCTCTGGTCCAAGGGCAGTTCCTCCGTCATGGCTTAAAACCGATTCCTTTCCATAATAACGAAAGGCTTCTTCCGGACGCTCAGAAAGCATCGTGTAGTATTGGCGCACAAAGGCACGACCAATGTCTAAAATTAACAAGTTAATTTTCGCTTAAACGAAAGTGAAGATTTCGTAAACTGGAAACTAGTCAAGAAGACACTTACCCACACTTGATGGTACAGAGCCAGACAGAGTTCCGTCCATAGCTACTTGATACCTAAAAACAAATTAGATGTAAAGTTTTGCAAACAAATCTCAAAAGTTATACTTGCTAACGAAACAGAAAGTTAATAGAAAGAGGGTCAAGATGGAAAAGACTAGGTTATCAACAATTCAAAATCTAGTGGTTCTGAATAAATTGCGCAAATTTCTAAAGTGAAGTAAATAGCAATCTTTCAACTAAAGAGGTTTTGCTATTTAGTTGCGGTTTAGTGGTCAACAAAATGGTATGGTAAGCGTTGGTACATTGATCTAAAACTTGTAAGCTTATGAACAATAGTAAAAATCCATGGGAACCCGGAAATTTTTGAAGAAATTATCAGTGCTACTCTTCAGCATTCAAATACGAGAGCAAATTGACGAATGGTCCATTTTTTAGCAAACAACGATGTGATAAGAATGCGGTCCCAACGCGCTTGGAGGCGAGCCAATTTGATGGTGAGTGAAGGGAACTTGAACACAGAGAAATCGACACAAAGTTCCGCGCGAAGAAAAGGCAGATGGGGTTGTTGGGGTTGACCATATACATAAACCAGAAAACGTTAAATCAATAACTGAAGAAATTTTTGGCAAAAAGTCCTTTATACTCGATAAATCAAGTCTTTTACTTGAATAGATATTCTATTCTTTCTCTTGCAATCTTTTCAAAATAGAATGAATATAAAGCTTCCAAAATTTAAACAGTTTATGTGAAGTTCTTTTGATTCGTCTTTATTGCCTTTCTTTCTTTTTCACGTTCTGATTCTATATTTTCTTTTCCAGATCATCGAAAGGTACAAAACCGGAATCAATGCTAAAATGTTTCCTGTGACACAACAAAATCAGCAAGAGGTAGCATTTGTTAAAATTTTTCAATCACTTTTTATTCAGGTTGCACCTCCGCCAAACGACGGGATGACGCAAGAAGTGATGAGACTGGACAATCTGATTGGGAACATCGAAGAACAAAATTTGACGCAAGATTCTCGATATGCTTCTGCCTTGCAATTGAGAGCCAGGTTAACAGGTTAATTTTTTGAAGCTGGTTTTTTCCTTCAAATCGAAGAAATTACATTGAAGAATTACTTGTTTTTAGGTGGCCAACCTCCGGAAATTCCCGCAGAAGCCTCTCCTTCAGTTTCTCGTGTTACCGAGTTGACCGCTGCACAGATGAATCAATTACGGGCACAGGTACTTTTTGGATCTCAAAAAGATTTAAATACTCGAAACATGTTTAATGTCATTTATTTCTTAGATCAACATTTATCGCTTACTTGCGCGAAATGAACCCGTGCCGGGTGATTTGGCGTTGCAAGCAAATCCCACGAAGCCCAAGTCAACCACACATCTACCCGATCCATTTGAGTATCCGATGGAAGGTATGTATTACCGTTTTAATTTTTTGTAAAATGAACGTTTAGGCGAAAATGGGGAGAAACTACCATACGACTTGATGAGAGTTCTCAATTTGCATCAACAAAAGGCTAGCCGTCAAACTACGTTGCCGACACCCAAAGGAATCGACCCAGTGTCTATGCAAAAAGAAAGAGAACATCGGTACTCTAGATTTTTTGCATTAAATTTCAGTTCAATTTTTTAGCATCCAAAATCGGATTGGCTTACGGATTCAAGAACTCACCAATCTTCCAGCCGACTTGCCTAATCAAATTCGAGTGAGATGTGAAATAGAGCTTCGTTCATTACGCTTAGTCAATTTGCAAGCACAGGTATCTTTCAGTGTTATATTTTTTGACCATATTCTTACTATCTTGGCACTAAATTAAACCGTTGATTTAGGTTCGAAGTGAAATAATGGGAGTTCTAAAACGAGATACCACTCTGGAAACGGCTCTGAATCCATATGCCTATCGACGAACAAAGCGTCAAACATTGCGAGAAGCCCGTGTCACAGAGAAGCTCGAAAAACAACAAAAGGTAAATTTAAAAAAAAGGTCAAATTATCTATTTTTAGATGGAAGCTGAGCGCAAGCGAAGACAAAAACACTCGGACCTCCTTGGCGCTATCATACAACACGCGAAAGATTTCAAAGAGTTTCACCGCAACAATCTTCTTAAGGTTAGACTAAATTTTAACCGATCTTAACTTTTAATTGTATTTCAGCGCAAGACCATTAAAAGAGCTGTTGAAACGTATATTGCCAACAGCGAGAAGGAAAAAAAGAAAGACGAGATCAAAAATGAAAGATTGCGTATGCAAAAGCTCATGCAAGAAGACGAAGAAGGATATCGACAACTTCTTGATGAGAAAAAGGTAGATATTTTAAAAATGTATATTTCTACATCTTTTTGTAATAGGACAAACGCCTTGTGCTGCTTTTGAAGCAAACAGATGAATATGTGGAGAGTTTGACCAGTCTTGTTCGCCAACATCAGAATGCCGAGAAGAAAAAGAAAAAAGAAGAACGGAAAATAGAAAAAACCAGTGAGTCATTTTATATTAAAAAACGCACAACGAATCGAGTTCCTTAAATAGTTATGTCTTTAGAAGAAGGCGTAATGCACGTGCACATTCGGGAAGTTGCAACAGGCAGGCTTCTGCCTCCAGAGGATTGCCCAAGTCCAGACGATGTCGATACATGGCTTGAGACTCATCCGGGATTCGAGGTAGTACTCTTATTTAGTTAGCTTTTCTAAATTGGTTATAGATTGCTGCTCGAGATCAAGTCTCTGATGAAAGTGAAGATGAAGTCGAAGTTCAGGTGCTATATTGAAAAGCTTTCTCCCTAAAGGAACTGATTTTAGCCAAAAGAAGAAAAGAAAGAGGAAGACGACGATGAAATGGAAGGATTAACAGACGACGAAAAAGCAAGGAGAATTTTGGAAAAGGTATAATTTTCACCTTCTTGATCATGTATTGGAAAGCACCTTTTAGGCACGAAACGAGGAGGATGAATATGATCCAAAGAATAAAAAGCGGATGGCGGATTGTAAGATTTTTCTATTGTTTGTGTTGAATAAATGGTAAATTGCAGATTATGCTACGGCTCATCGTATAAAAGAAGTCGTTGTTCTGCAACACTCGACAATGGGTGGAGGGGATCCTACACTCAAACTAAAACCGTATCAAATAAAAGTAAGCAAATAAACTCGATTTTTCAAAGATTGAATTTTGTTTTAGGGTTTGGAATGGATGGTCTCTCTCTACAACAACAATTTGAATGGAATTCTTGCCGATGAAATGGGTTTGGGAAAGACCATTCAAACAGTCGCCCTCATCACATATCTCATGGAAATCAAAGGCAACAATGGACCATTTCTTGTTATTGTTCCGCTTTCAACGATTTCCAATTGGGATCTCGAGTTTGAGAAATGGGCTCCAAATGTCAAGAGAATCGTCTATAAGGTTTGACCGGATTTTGAAAGTTTTAATAAAGTTTTAAATTAAAGGGAGACAAAGACGCTCGTCGGAGACTTGATAGCGTAGTTAAGAAAGCATCATTTAACGTGCTACTTACGACTTATGATTACGTACTGAGGGAAAAAGCTTCGCTTGGAAAGATTCGCTGGAAGTACATGATCATTGATGGTAAGGAAGTCTTTGTTTGTCAAAAATTCTTTTTTCCAGAGGGACATCGCATGAAGAATCACAACAACAAACTCACCTTGATTTTAAATGGTTTTTTCCATGCTCAACATCGAGTGCTCTTGACCGGAACTCCTCTTCAAAACAAGCTTCCGGAGTTGTGGGCGTTGTTGAACTTCTTGCTGCCATCAATTTTCAGGTGCGGGTTCAATCATAATTGTTAAACCCGAATCTTTCAAGTTCGTGTGGCACTTTCGAACAATGGTTCAACGCTCCATTCGCAACAACGGGAGAGAAGGTCGAACTGAATCAGGAGGAGACCATGTTGATCATTCGCCGTCTCCATAAAGTTTTGCGTCCTTTCTTGCTTCGACGATTGAAGAAAGAGGTATGCTCAAGACTTAAAGTTGTAATCTAGGTTGCTATTTAAATTTACCCTTTGCTTAAAAAAATAATTTAGGTGGAATCTCAATTGCCGGACAAAACAGAATACGTGGTCAAATGCGACATGTCGGCTCTACAGAAAGTTCTCTATCAACACATGCAGAAAGGTCTTCTCATCGACACGAAGCAACAACAAGGAGGACGTGGTAAGCTTTTTGTAAAACGAATTATCTAATGTCTATATTTGTGAAGCACAAAATATAAAAAGCGCTACAAAATTTCATTTAGCCTTGATGAACACTGTCGTGCACCTCCGAAAGTTGTGCAACCATCCCTTCCTTTTCCAGACAGTGGAAGACAGTTGCAAGAATTTTTGGAACGTGCCAGTAGTTTCAGAGTAAGCATTTATATCTGCTTTTGAATTTAACAAAAAGAATTTAGCCAAGATCTCGTCCGCGTTGCTGGAAAGTTCGAACTTCTTGATCGCATCTTGCCCAAGATGAAAGAAACTGGACATCGTGTTTTAATCTTCTGTCAAATGACTACGTTGATGACAATTCTTGAAGATTTCTTCAATTATCGCGGCTGGAAATATCTGAGACTTGATGGTAGTACCAAGCCCGATGAACGTGGAGAGCTTCTACGGGTATTATTTAGCTTCGTTGCTCACTTATTTATTATCTTTTAGTTGTTCAATGCCCCTGATTCGGACCTTTTCATCTTCATGCTTTCTACAAGAGCTGGTGGCTTGGGTCTCAACTTGCAAACTGCCGATACCGTCATTATTTTTGACTCCGATTGGAATCCTCATCAAGTAATTTAAGTAAGTAGTAATTAAACCGTGATTTTATAGGACATGCAAGCGCAAGACCGTGCACATCGTATCGGTCAGAAGAAAGAAGTTCGTGTTCTCCGCCTAATCACCGCAAACTCTGTTGAAGAAAAGATTTTAGCTGCTGCCAGGTGAAGATTTGTTTCCTTTTTATAAAGAAATCTTTTTGAATTTAGATACAAACTGAACGTCGACGAAAAGGTCATCCAAGCCGGTAAATTCAATCAAAGATCGACGGGTGCCGAACGACGAGAACTTCTCGAGCAAATTATTAGGTACTGGATAACCATTATCTGCGAAACTTGAGTTTTCAACTTTAGGCAAGAACAAGAAGAGAATGATGAAGACGAGATTCCGGATGATGAGATGGTAAACCAGCTTATTTGCAGGTGGATAAGAGTTTTAGTGCGAACTCAAAAGTATCTTTTAGATCGGAAGAGGAATTCAATAAATTCCAATGTATGGACATTGACAGGCGCAGAGAAGAGGCCAACCAATTGCACAGGTGTTTACAATGCAATACTTTCTACAATTTCCTTTTTAGAAAACCGCGTTTACTCGAACCGAATGAAATTCCGGCCGATATTTTGAAAGCTGCCGAACAGTTTGATGAGATGGAACGGCAAGAAAGGGAGGGCATTCCGACAAAAGTTGATACAAGTGAAGGAAGGCGAAAACGAAAACAAGTATACCTACTCCCATTTTGTTTGCGTAACTAACGATTTTTAAGGTTGATTACTCTATTGATTCGCTGTCCGATCGAGACTGGTTGAAACAATACGATGAAGCTGTCGAGGAAGAGGAAGACCAAGAAGATCTGCCTCGCAAGAAAGGACGTGGAAAACGGAAACGAGAAGAAGATGAAGATGAAGAAATTGGTGGAAAGAAAAGGAGAAAAGCTTCGCCCGAAGTCATTCAAGCAATGAATACGGTTAGTTATCTTGCAATTGAAAATCAATTCACAACATTTAGGCTTACAAAACAGTTGTCGAATTCGAGACTAGTGATGGAAAAGAAATAGCTGGACCGTTTGTCGAACTTCCAAGTCGTCGTGCTCTTCCAGATTACTATGAGGTTAATTATATATTTTAAAATCATTACCAATACATTTAGGTGATTGCAAAACCAATGGATTTCAAACGGATCCGTAAGAAGATTGATGAAGGGAAATACTCGACGATCGACGATATGGCCGATGATGTATTTTTGTTGTGTGAAAATGCTCGGGTAAAGCGCCACATATAATAATTTACTAATTAGCTTCAATTTAGCGCTATAACACCGACGAATCCGAGATTTACAACGACTCGATCCTTTTGGAGAATCTCTGGAAGAAACTCACGAGCACTGTTCCCAAAGTTGAGCGTACGCCGGTGAAGAAAGAGGACGACGAAGTCGGTGAAAGCCGCGATGATTCAAGAGTATGTTATCAATATTTTGCAATCGAGTCATTATTTTGTTATTTTTAGATTGATGACGATACAGGAGAGCTTAGTCGTGCTTCCGGCGACGCTTCAACATCAGCAAAAGAGGTTGTTACTCGTATAGTACTTGATGTCAACTGGACTTTTTAGGGAGAAACATCGTCTCGTCGCCGAAAAAGCAAACCGCAACGAGTACTCGACTCGGATCAAGACTCCGACTGATTCAAAAAAAATTTCTTTTGTGATTCAAGTCATGTTTTTGTCTATTTAAGTTATGTTTTTATTATTTTGTCTGTTTGCAATCATACTATTACATTGGTCTCATAACTTATTTTATATGTATTTTCATATGTCAGCATAAATAAATTCCATACTGACTCGAATTGACACAAAAGGATAGAGGGTAAAATATCAGAACACTCTTTTTGCGTTCGTAGTCAAAACAAGGCTTCATATTGCAGAAACATTGCATATTTATTTGGATGTGTTGTTGTGTTGAAAAGGATACTTGATACTCTATCATTGGAGTTTCTCGAATAAAAAATGGATCCCGGAGATGCATGAGTTGAGGGAAAGAGTGGTGTCTGTCTGTGTGTGATGATGGGGATCGATCTCACCCAAAAGGCCCCTTTCTCCCCATCTCTCTTCTACTTCTTCACCTCAATGAATGGGATCTCTTCAATCTGTTATCCATCAATCCTCCCCGTTTCTCTTCATCTCTCCTCTTTCTTTTTTCTTTTCTTACGATCTCTTCGGGCGAGTATTTTTGTTGTAAATTGGACCTGGGGTGAAAGAGAAGATATCCCTCTCGTTCTCTTCTTTATGGCCTATTTGAACTCTTCTCTCTTCATTTCTTCTTTGCCTTCAAATCTCATCTCTTTCCAATACAATGATGTTATCTCTTCTTGTGCAGAGCTTCTTCTTTTCTTTTCTTTCAACTCCATCGAGAACTCCTCGAAGTGATCTTCTTTCATTTCCCGGTTCATCTTCGAGTTTTTTTTTATTAGATCTTTAAAGTGATAATCAAATGATAAGCGAAATTCTATGAATGCTATTATTCTATGGATACTATATCTGCCTATATCTCCCCTTTGCTTCACTTTTAACTGGATTTAAGCTGCGGTTTTAGAACAATGTTAAATTGAAATGAGCCTAAGCCATAAAAAAAAAGTTATTACTGATTTAAATGAATCAGCTGGATCTTTCAAATCTGGAGATAAAATCGGATATGAACTTCTTGTTATCGAATCGTTTACTCTAGATAATCTTATCCAAGACTCATTTCTTTCCACTCCACTTTCGTTTTTTTGTCTTTTGTTGACAGCTTCTCCCTCTCTTTCTCCGCGTTCATTTCTTCAGCTCATTCACGTGCAGATCTCGACCGCTTTTCTCTTTTCAGGTGGACAACTACGGGAAAATAAATAGTGCACAGATTTTCAAATATTTTCATGTACTTCATCTGTACTTATCGAGTTTTTGCTTGATTGATAAGTGCTCAACGCGTTTTTTGACCGTTTTGTTGGCAGTTCAATCGTTCTTGGACTTCTTCAAAACTCTCGTCGACTGTCAAACTTGGAATTATAGCTAATCTTTATAATGGAATTATAGCTAATCTCGATTTTCTTAATCAATTTCAATTTAAAGACTAAACTTTCGCTAAAGTTTATAAAACAACTACCGTATTTCTTCGAATAGAATACCGGGTAAAGAGTATCATCGCGTACTCCTACGTAGCAGCTCTTTTTAAAATTTCTGCATAAAAGCTTTCAATGAAGAATTTCAATCAATAGGGCTGGAAAATGGCTCAAAAATACCACATGAGCTAACAGATTTTTGAGCCATTTTCCAGCTCTATAGCACTTCATTGAACATTGAAAGCTTTTATGCAGAAAAGAAATTTTAAAAAGAGCTGCTACGTAGGAGTACGCGATGATACTCTTTACCCAGTCTTCTATTCGAAGAAATACGGTATTTTCTAGTGTAGATGAGCACATAAAAATCTAGATATAAAAAAAAAGAAATTATCAGAAATTCATAGCGAATTTCAATCATAAAACCCTGGGAAAAACGGGCATGCGATTCAAATTTTTACCAGTCAATAAAAATCGGGCAGAAGGAAGCAATCGACGGAATTCCAAGTGAGGAGACAGGTATTTCGCGGGGATCAACGAGAAATCTAATTTCATCATAGATTTCAGAGAATATATGGGCAAATTTCAAATGCTACCGTAACCCGTTCACAGAAAAGAGAAGGGGTTATTTTGGGGAATTTATTTTCTTTCCCCTCCCCCCTCTCGCGCCGTTGCGCTGCTTATTTTTTTGTGTGTTCCACAGCACTTCTTTTCTTCTGTTCTTCGTGTGGGGAAAGGGGAGGCTGAATGAGGGTTTTTGAATTCAGAGAGGGGAAAGGGGGGCTGAGGGGCCTTGTCCCCGACATTTCGCAATTTCGGTCCCCGCCGGCTTTTCCTCTTTTCTTCACTTCTTCAGCCTTTCTCCTTTCACAAGGGACATTCGCCCTTTCACTTCTTTTCGGTTTCTTTTCCTTTCCCCCAAGCCCCTCCCCAGGACTCCAGCCCTCTATTTCATCCATTTTTATCCATTTACTTATTTTTTTTCCCTTGCTCTCAATTTTTTCAGCTCTTTTCATAATCTATTAAATTGAGATAGTTTTTGATAAAAATATTCTAAAGAATAAATAATGAAATTATTTATTCTTTAGAATTGATCAAAATTAATTGTTTTAATGCTTTTCAACTCTTAAATCGCTTTTACTTGAATACCCAATAAATTGTAATCAATTTTGATTGATTATTTAAAAAAATTCCTTCAATTCCCTCAATTCCCTCAATGACTCCTCTACTCAACTATTCGGTATTACTGATTTCTTTGGTTTTCCATGAAAAAAGTGTACCCGACAGCTGCTTCTTGGCAAAAAAAGAAAACGAAAACCGAGAAAGAGACCTTGAAAAGTTCAGTTAGAATAATCACATGGATGAGAAGGGGGGAAATACTTCCGCAAACATCAACCATTTGAGGCAATTTTTAATGATTTAAGCTCTTTGATTGATCTTTCCATAGTAAAATCTTTTAAGTAAAAGCTTTAGAATTAAACGGTATTAACTTTGTTCTGAATACCTATATTTTGTATTGTTAGATTTGGCTTAAAGTGACAACATAATAATAATAATGTATACCGGGGTTACCGGTGATTTGATTTTGCACACACATAAGCACAATTTACACATTAAAACCTAGGGAATATTCTATGGTTTGTGAGGATGGGACGATGTAGGAGGAGAAGGAGGGGGAGGGGAGGGAGGAGAAGGAGGAGAAGGAAGAGGAGGAGAAGAAGGACGAGAAGGAGGAGAGGGAGGAGAGGGAGGAGAGGGAGGGGAACCGGTCCTGGGAACCGGTCCTGGGAACCGGTCCTGGGAACCGGTCCTGGGAACCGGTCCTGGGAACCGGTCCTGGGAACCGGTCCTGGGAACCCGGTCCTGGGAACCCGGTCCTGGGAACCGGTCCTGGGAACCGGTCCTGGGAACCGGTCCTGGGAACCGGTCCTGGGAACCGGTCCTGGGAACCGGTCCTGGGAACCGGTCCTGGGAACCGGTCCTGGGAACCGGTCCTGGGAACCGGTCCTGGGAACCGGTCCTGGGAACCGGTCCTGGGAACCAGTTCACCATATGCGGTTACCTACAGCACTCGGTTGATATCCCTGACCTATCTACTGGATTCAGAACCAGAGACTAACCGAGCTTGCTTAACTTGCCCAACTAACCGAGCCCAGATCTGACGGGATACCGTGTTTCAACATGGCGAGGCCATAATAGCAATAACAATGACAATGATGACAAGGTTTGTTGGGATTTCGAACTGAATTTAAAAAATAATCGATATTTGTTGAATTAGTTTTGTTTTGGCTAGTTGAATTGTACAAAAATCACCATAATTTAAAGAAAAAAAGAATAAAGGCAATAAATGCCTAGTGTTTTCTTTTATTTTGTCTGCCTTTTTCCTGTTTCGTAAAAAAGAAATTCGAATTCTTTTATGATTCTCTCATTTCCGTTTTCCTTTCCCACCAATATTCATCCAGATGTTCATCCCTTTTTCTTTCCTTTTTCTTTTTTCAAACTTTCCCTCCAAAACAAATTTATCATTTTTTTTGTCTTTTTGTGCTTTTTTCATTCATTGAATCTTTGAATCTTTCAATTTTTTCAAGAATTTTTTAAGAATTTTGTCCTTCTTAGCCACTCTCGAAATTTTCGCTCTTTCTCTTCCTATCTTTTGATTGATCATTGAACGCAATGGTTTGCAAGACGAGAAATTTACAGACTGTTGACAAATATCATTAAGTTAAGCAACTCTACTTCACTTTTCATTTATCAATGTTCACTATTCCAGTTTCATTTAGCTTAACAGTGAAGTGAACATTGATAAATGAAAAGTGAAGTAGAGTTGCTTAGCTTAATGATATTTGTCAACAATCTGTAAATTTCTCGTCTTGCAAACCATTGCGTTCAATGATCAATCAAAAGATAGGAAGAGAAAGAGCGAAAATTTCGAGAGTATCGAGAGAAGGACAAATTTCGAAGAAGGACAAAATTCTTGAAAATTCTTAAAAAAATTCTTGAAAAAATTGAAAGATTCAAAGATTCAATGAATGAAAAAAGCACAAAAAGACAAAAAAAAATGATAAATTTGTTTTGGAGGGAAAGTTTGAACCAAAATTGCAGATTAAATGTTTAGCTTTCCAAAAAGTAGTTATCAAAATTTTTCAAACTAAACCGTAAGCTGGCTACAGTGACCAATAGTATCCAACTCCAGTACTCTATTACAATGTACTCTACATGGTTCTTAATTACAATTTTGCCGAAACACTAGGTTCTTAATTACATTTTTGACAATAGGCCAATGAGAAGTAACCTTTTTCTGCTTTCCTGCTTTACAGTAATCATTTACGATACTACTAATACTACTTCATTTTGAACATTAACTTAATTACCTTCTATGAAAAACTTTACGCATCAGATTCATAATTGCATTCTATTTTTAAGTAAATGAGCAAGAATGAGTTGAATGTCAGTTAACAAGAGAGTGTTTCTCAAAATTTCGAGCGTCATCAGTTGAGAGAGGGAGAGATGGGTCTAAATTGTGCCAAGTTCTTTTTCATCTCTTTCATTCTTCTCTTTGGGGTGATCCAAAGTGAAAGACCATAGGGA